AATGCCATTTTACATGCAAAAAATTCTAGTTAATAAAGAAGCAGGCAGGAAACTGGAGATCTTTTTTGTAAGAGACTAAACGGCAACAGAGAAGACACCAATAAACACTGATATTTGGGGAATCCTCTGAATGTGTTAGGGTCTAAGTTAAGTTGCTAAAAAGAAAGGCAGAGGTTTATATCTCTCTTATGCAACAATCTAGAGGCAGAGACATATTCAGGGTGGTCAGCCACTCTGTTCAAGGAGGTCATCTGGGGATGAGGCCCCTGCTTCCCTGTCACTCTAACATCCCCTGGGCGTTATCCTCATCAGCACGGTACAAGCTTACTCACCAGCACCCTGTAGGCATTTCAAAGTAAAAGACATAAAGTAAGCAGCTTCCTTTTTAAGAAAATGACTAGGAAATTATTCCAAAGGATCATGTGCACTGCTGACATTTAAAGGAGTGAGAGTATTTCTATTACTTAAAGGAGGTAAATCCAGAAAATGGATACCAGGAAACAATTAGCAGTCTCTGCCATAGCTCCCTGAAAGAAAAGAATAGCTTACTGTCTAGTCTCCTCATATACATAGAACTTAAATCATCTTATGTGGACATAAGAATGAACATATGATATAGAATCATCAATAACAGAAGTTTGCTAAGACTGGAACTTCCAAGGACACTATTAGCAATATTCTATAATATCTATGAGTAGTCCATGTATTCATAGCTTGTAAACATTTTATAAAATTGATAAAACAATTAAAATACAAAGACAGGGATCCCTGGGTGGTGCAGCGGTTTGGCGCCTGCCTTTGGCCCAGGGCGCGATCCTGGAGACCCGGGATCGAATCCCACGTCGGGCTCCCGGTGCATGGAGCCTGCTTCTCCCTCTGCCTGTGTCTCTGCCTCTCTCTCTCTGTGTGTGTGTGACTATCATAAATAAATAAATAATTTATAAAAAATAAAAATAAAAAAAATACAAAGACAAGGAAATATTCCCAAAGAACATGGGGGAGGGGCAAAACAGAGACGAAGGTATAGGAAACAGGAAGAAAAAATTTAAAAATTATAGGCTTGACAAAGAGATCCAACATGTGACCAGTAGGATATCCATAAAGAAAGAGAAATACTAGAGAAGAGAAAATTACTGAAAAAACTGTACAAAGAAAATTTCTCAGAAATAAAGAATGAGTTTCCTTATGGAGGAAAAGAGAGAAAGAGGGAAAAAAAATCCTGTACACTCTATAATAAAAATGGCTTCTGACTTTTCAGTTGCGATATTGGAAACTACTATACAAAGTAGATACTCTTGAAAAGTCCTAAAAGAAAACTATTTTTAACCAGTTTTCTACACTCAATGAACTTATCAACTGGCTATTCAAATAAAGACAGTTTCAAATATGCAAAAGCTCAGTATTTTACTTTCTAGGGACCATTTCCTAGGCAGCTCGTTGAGGAAGTTCTCTAGTAAAGAGAGGAAATAAGCCAAGAAAGAAGCAAATGTGAATCCAAGAAGCAAAAGCAGAGCAGGAAGGTGAGTATTACAGATGTGAGAGCACCTGCTCATACTGAAGTGTGTAGCAGACACTGTCAAGTTCCTGTTGATATCACTAGGGCTCTACTGCTTTGGCACACTCTGGACAACTTCTAGAAGTTAGTATCTGCTTTGCTTGTCCAGGCTTTTTCAAGAACTATTGAAGGTTATTCTGACAACATAAGAGCAGGTCAAAAATACCAGGTAATTAAAACTTCCCAGTAGCAGACCTTAATATCCTTAATATCCATAGAAATCACTGTATCAATACCCTAGCTCCCTTGCCCTTTGAGCGGGATAGCTCTCAGGTATGTGACATCCCTTCATAGTTTCCCCATGGATTCAGTTCATCCAGAGGTGGGTGGCTTGACAATGCACCTCTTATTGGCTCCCTTCCCTTCTCTGTCTCAGTGCTCCACTCAATTTCTGAAATATTCATACAAACATTTTGAGCACATATATAGCTATCCATCAAGTATTCAAGTATCCTGAATATATAACGCATTTAAAATATCAATTTTCTAATTATCTAACACTCAATGAACTCAAGAATGAGTTTTTACAAGCAGAATGAAGTATGACACAACACAAAATACAAGGTTTCCATTCTCTTCTCGGAAAAGTTTATTCTAATGTAAATGAAGAAGAAAACTACTGTTCTCGAAGAAAGTTTATTCTAATGTAAATGAACAGTGAAATACTTTGTTTAAGACATAAAATGAGTTCCAAAAGCACCTAACAGAGAAAATCGGTGGCTTTAAAAATCATTATTTAATGATTGAAGACTTCTGGGTGATGCTTGGAGGCAACAAGAGGGAGTTGGGGAGGGTTTAGTCACGCTGGCTCGTGGGAGAAGATAAGTGAAAATTAGTGAGAGCAAGTAAATGAAACAGATAGTTATTCATATCTAACCCTAAGGAACTGGTTAACATCCTCTTTTTTCCAGGCTATGCAGACCTTGGAAGTACATAGAAAGCACCACTGCAGGAAGCTGGATACATAAAATGGACATCTGTCGGTGGCGTGGCCACACACGTGGCTCTCCAGCATCTTGGGGATGGTGGAAGTGGTAAAAAAGATACAAAAGATACCAAGAAGAGACATGTCGCTGAGGAAGAAGTACATGAGGCTGTGGAGATGAGGGTCCAAGAGGATGGCCAGGATAGGGGGCAGATTCTCCACGCACCCAACCAGATGCAGGCTGGAGGACAGAGCAAAGAGCCCCCACTCTGCAGCGGCTGCTCAGTAAGGCCGAGGAGGGTGAATGCAAAGATTCAGGACTGTTTGTCCATGTGCAGGCAGTTCTAAAGCCAGAAACAAGGGCATCAACTGTGAGTGCCCCCACCCGGGGGGGGAGGAGGGGAGGGGGGAGAAACAGATTATCGCACTCATGTCCTTCCTATCCACCTTTTGTGGTTCATCTCACAAACTTCCTGAGCCTCGGCTCCCTCATTGGATTCAGGGAACTAATAATTCTAACCTTTTGGGATCATCACCAGGATTAACTGAGAAAAAACATGTAAGGAGCTTAAATCCATGCCTGACATATACAATATGGGCAACTATTTTTGTTAGTGGGAACTTCTAGTAGATGCTGTCAAAATAAAGAGTGATATGTAAAATAAAAAATAAAATAAGATAAAATAAAATAAAATAAAAATAAAAATAAAATGAGCATCTGGTTGAGTTTCCTTGGCTTACAATAAAATAGCTCCTGCTAACATGAAACTACACTGGCAATCCAGTTTTGCTTGTGTTTTTGTTTTTTAATGTGATACAGCTGCCCCCCCTACCGCCATGGTAAAGAAAAGGCAATGATTTTTCTGTATGTTTTAAAATTTATTTTTAATATTTGGTATAAAATTATTCAGTCTCCTTCCCTTCCTCTTCCTCCAAGCATCACTGAGCATCAGACAGAACAAATTCCTCTTTTATAAATTCTCTGAGAAGGCTTTTCTGTGCCTCCTTAGCCTCACCTACAACCCTGGTTTTCAGGAAATAAAGTGGACAATGATATTTAAAATGCATACGAATTTAAACAACAAGTAGCAGATTTCCTCCTCTTGAGAAAATGGCTGAGGCACCCCAGGGGCCCATGGGACATCCTCTTGCCCCAAACCAGCAAGGAAAACTCACTCTTTGTCATAATGGATTTTTAACTTATTTTTAAATTTTACTCAAGGTATTTTTCAGGCAGGTTTAGGAAATGTTTGATTTATGAGGCAGCAGTTAACAAAAGATACATCTGTAAGCCCAGGGTCCAATGGGAGATGGAAAGTTGAATGACTCTCTAAGAAAGTGAAGAGAATTCTGTTTGGAGCCAATTAATAGCACATAATACAAAGGTCTGATCATGAGAGAGGTCTGCGTAGAGAGAGAGACAGGCCAGGAGAGATGTCAGAGGAGAGCCAGAGAGAAGAGGCAACTGTGGTAGAGGCCAGCAGAGCTCTGTCCATGTCCCTGCCCTGGAGGCTACAGCAGGCAGTGCCATCGGGCCCTGGGATACCAGTGTCTCTGCACCAGATGGGGATCCCTGTCCACAGGAGCCTGTTCCGGGGGCCCACAGTGTTGGCGATCCAAGCTGTTGGAGCAAATCTCCACCAAGGAGAGGAGGGAATTGGTAGCCAAATGCCTCAGGTCCTCCGCCTTGGAAAGACTACTCAGAACTGTGTCCCACGTGCTCTCAGAGCACGGTCGGCATTGTTGAATCCTGTCAACTAACCAAATAATCACCCCCCCCAAAAAGCTCCTTCCTTCACTTGTATACTCTCTGCAGAGTATAGTTGGTGAAATTAAAACAAAAAGAGGCCAACATTCCTCCCTAGAGGTGTGTCTACAAAGAGAGAAGAGACAACCGAAGGAATGGGGACATGAATGAGAGATTTCAGAGGAGGTAAGCCCTGGAGGAGGTGGTGAGTAGAAGGAACAAGAGTCTCCAGGATACCCCAAGATATATAGGTATCCAGCTATACAGATGGGGGTTGCTCCTCATGAGTGGGATACTTGCTCAGGCCGTTTGACTTTTCCATTAAGGAGAATGGGGACCAGATAAGATGGAGGAGCTGGGAACACACAGGGGCCACCATGTGGGCCTCATCCATCAGGCTTTCAAGAGTTTGTTCTCTCTCAAAGTGGAGTAAGGAGGCCCAGACACAAACATGAATCCCTCTCCTGTGAGGCAGACGTTGAGAGGTAGCATTAGTGAGGCAGAGGGCGAGTGCATGGGGTTTGGTAAAGGGCATGACTCCCTTCAAATGGGGAGAATGGAACAGGATTAGGGAGGGTGTTGACCTTTAATCGCAAATCTCAGGATCTGCACCTGTGGAAGTGTTCAGGGAGGCAATCGGGGAAATGCTTTGCTGGGAGCCCACATCCGTGTCCAAGGCCCTTACAGGAAAGGAAATGTTTTAGCTTTATGTAATGGCTTTGTGTGGGGACCTCATTAAGGACAGAGTCCTAATGACCACAAAGACAAAATCATCTCTGACCCATAAATTTTACTTGGAAAAGCATGTGCACTTTGTGTCCAGAAGCAAAGGCATGAACTACAAGATAATTAGTAAGTTTACAGTCACAAAGCATAGATGTGAACAAGTGATTCTTTCTAGACATTTATTGCCTTGAATGGTGGTGCAAAGGGGACAGGAGAGTTGGAAACCCAAAGTGGTCTGTATTGTATAGAAGGCAGCACATTTTTCTCCCTCTTTTGAGGGAAATCAGACTGGTGACTGCGCAGTCGATTCCTTTGCCCTGTCTCTCTGTAGTTCCAGTAGTTCAATCTCCAAAGACAATTTATATATCTCCAGGGCCATTTTCACATCCTCTGGGTTGGGGAGACACTGCATCGTCTTTCTGCCTTTGAGGATATGTTCACAGCCTTCAGGGACCACCTAAAAGAGATGTAGGTGTGAGTGGGATTGAGTGGCTTCTCTCCAGATCAAGAAGGAGCAGGGTTAGGGGGATCTTCTGATAATGACAGGACTACAGGCCCAGGGTCAAGACCAAGCCCAGGACTGCCTGGTGAGCAGGTCCCATCACCATTCTCTCCAGAGGGATAGGGACCTGTTCTGAGACAGCTTCGCAGGGGGCTTCTGTGAGGATAGAGGCTGTGTCTGAGACCATCCAGAAATGGAACACAATCTATTAAATAGTCTAGGAAGAGTCAAGTTAGGACTCAGTACTGCCAGGCATCTGAGACCAGAGGGGCTCAGCTTTTCCTTATTTTCCAGTGAGAGAGGAATACTCATCACTCCCACCTGACCACAGGGCTTCAAGAAAAAAGGGAGTTCCTTTGAAGGATTCAGATGACTCCCGACAAGTCAGATCTCACCATTGCTGGCTGGGAAAGTGTTTGGGGGGAGGCCTCATTTTTAGGGTTAGATAGCACAGGAGATTTTTTTGAATCGTGCCACTTACCCATTCACATTTGGGCATCTCGGGGTACCAGGTTCTGCTCTCTAAGCAAGTGATACTTTGGGAACCAACCAACTTATACTTAGAGTCACACTGGATGGTGACATTTTCGGATTGAATATACTGATCCTTATCCATGGACAGCGTTGCGTGGGCTATTTCTGGTTTCAGACACAGAGCTACAATGGAAACATGGTTTTAAGCAATATGTGAATCTAAGAAAAAAAGACATGACAACAGGCTAGGATTATAAGGATTGACTATCTGAACATAGTAATGATTTCAAATAAACCAAATCAAATCAAATCAAATGTTTCTGTGCTTTTGTGATACTTCCACCACCTGACTGAAAAGGGAGCTGGAGTTACCTTTACATTGAGGGACTGCAGGTGACCAGCGTGAGTAACTACAAGAGAGTCTAGGCTCCCCAACCAAAGTGTATCCTTCGTAACATTTATATATCACTTCTTCGTTCTTGAATACATTGAATCCATTTACTCGTTCATGATATCCATGGGGAAGAAAAGGAGGATAATCACAACCTTGATGGTGAGAGATAAAAGTGAGAGAGCATGAGCTTGTAGAATATAAAAAATGACATCCCAGAATCTGTGTGTTTTAGAAGGTTTCATTCTGTCCTGTCATCTTCTCTATCCATAGGATCATTCAGCCAAAACCAAGACCTGTGCTACCCTCCTGTAAGCCTCAGGCTGAGGAACTACCATGGCCCCACCATTAGGCCACTTGGTGGTCATCTCTAACATCTTCAAAAATATGATGAGAATAGAAAAAATTACTACTTTGTTCAACCCCCACATTGTGTTCTTGACCTATGGGGTAAGACCTGTCATATCCAAGAAGTCAAGTAGAAACCACTGATACTGTCCTTATCCAACCCCCTTGAAGCAAAGACAGTATGTTAAAAAAAAAAATCATATACCAAGGTGGCAGATGAAATGGAGGAATTTGGTGCCATTCTTAAAGAACTAAAGCTGCCTTCCCATCATATTGCCACTTAATTCCCCAATCAGTCTACAAGAAAATTAAGATTTTGAGAATTACAGTAGACTATTGAAAACTCAACAACATTTTAGTTCTCGTTTCAGATATGGTATCTTTGTTAGAGTAGATTTTTTTGTATCTGTAGGTAGATGGGGGCCACTGGTCTAGCAGATGACTTCTTTTCATCCCTATCAGAAAAGAGGGCCAGAAACAATTTGCATACACACAGAAGGATCAAATCACACATTTGTGGGTACAATAACTCACTTGCCCTTGTCATAATAGAGTCTGAAAATACTACAGTTATCTGTACATCTACATTGATCCAGTATATCAATGGCATCACGTTAATTCTATAAAATCTGTCCAAGTTCCTGGTGCAAACCTCCTAAAATAAACTCTTGTAAATTCCTAGGTGCTGAGAACACTAAGAACATCTTGTTCTTTTGAGGCAACGCTTAGTGGCTCCTGGATTAGTGCTAGTCACCATTCTGGTGACCAAGTCATGATGAAAAGCTTAGAAGCTTAGAATTTTTCAGGCCTTCTCTCCTCTCCAAAGAGGGGAGAGAATTTGGAAATAGTGTTAATAATTGGTCAGGCCTATAGTGAGCAAACCTTCCTAAAATCTCCCTATTGTTCAGAGAGCTGCCAGGTGAGTGAGCACATCCATGTACTGGTGGGGGATACACCCCAAATCCACAGGGACAGAGGTTCCTATGCTTGGGATCCTCTTAAAATTCACCCTATGCATCTCTTCATTTGTATCCTTCATTATATCCTTTAATAAAATGGTAAATATTTCCCTCAGTTTTGTGAGCCACTCTAGCAAATTAATGGAATTCAAGAAGGGAGTCATAGGAACCTCCAATTTTAGCCAAGTTGAACAGACTTTGGTAATAACCTGGGGACATACTACCCATAATTGGCATCTATAGTGGGGGGCAGTTTCATGAGACTGAGCCTTTAACCTGTGGGATTTGACACTATCTCCAGGTAGATAGTGCTGGAATTGAGTTAAATTATAGCACACCCACATGGTGTTGTAGAGAATTCTTTGTTGTGAGAAGAAAAAAAAAAAAACCCTCAGGGCACCTGGGGACCTCTGTGGTTGAGCGTCTATCTTTGGCTCAGGTTGTGATCCTGGGGTCCTAGGATTGAGTCCTGCATCAGGATCCTCACAGAAAGCCTGCTTCTCCTTCTGCCTGTGCCTCTGCCTCTCTCTCTGTGCCTCTCCTGAATAAGTAAGTAAAATCTTAAAAAAAAAAAAAATCCTCAACCGTTTGATCACCAGAAATGTTGAGTATTCTGTGTGAGTAGTAAAAGAGACACACAAGAAAAACATGGGAAGTGAAGGGGAAGCCTGGGTTTTTCCAACTCCCATAATGATGCTCCAGAATATAGAAGATAAGGATTCCAGGGTTGCCACATCAATACAGTCTTTAGAGGTCCAGGACTCAGGGCTTGCTAGGCTATCCCATCCAAACTAATGGGATGTGCACATCGCACCACAAAAAAGCTTGTATAACATCATGTAGAACTTTCTAGACTATCGAGGCAGTACATTCTGTACTTGACCAGTGATGTCACAAGGAGAAGAGGAGCAAAGCGGTGGTATGGACGAAGAACAAGCATGGGCACAACAACATGGACTCCCATTTACCATGGCTGTCACTGAATCTTCTAACCAGCCACAATGCTGAGCCACATACCCCTAATATGATACCAGCCCTTGAGATAACCACAAAGCCACTTGGTAGCTAGTTGACTGTATTGGACCCCTTCTGCCTGAAAGGGACAAATATTTATTTTGACAGAAATAGACAAGTATTCTAGGTACAGGTTTGCCTTTTCTGCTTGTGGGACTTCAGTCGGCACCGTTATCTGAAGGTTAGAGTGCTTAAATAATTGACATAGAATTATACTATGTGGGACTAGAAGACCTACTCACAGCAAAAGAGGTGTGGTACTGAGACTATGGCCATGGAATGTACTACTCACATTACAGACTACATCACCCAGAACCTGTAGACCTGTTGGACATTGGAATGGTCTGATAAAGGCACAGCTGAAGTGCGGGTTGAAGGGCAATATTTAATGGTGATGAGACTTTACAATATGACTTTGCCATATCTTTCAGAACACAGTATCTTGAAACACTTTAGATCTCCTTTGGGCTCCTACTTACACACAAGGCAAGAAGAAAAAGCATTGCTATTCAGCAGGGGTAATTGTTCTTGGTCATCAAGAGATAGAGCCATGGAAAAACAATGGGAGAGGTAGAACTGTGTTTAGCACTGACGTACTCTTGGTGAGGGATAGGTATCTCACACTGGGGGATCGTCTGAAGGAGGACTTAGAGGTAGCAGAAGGAAGGAAGTTTGAGGAAGACAGGAAGCAAGTTTAGAAAAATGGGTTCGAAGAAATGTGAGTGGGTCTTCAGCCATAGATTTAGGCGTATGGACAGAAAGAAGAGAAGACAATAAATACCAAGAAACAGAAGGCAATCATGGAAAAGTTCAGCTGATCTATTTGATGTGGCCTATTTTTCCTGATCCAGAAAAGAAAAGAAAAGCAGCAAGGTCAAGAGAATGGGAATAAATAATGAGAGGGGGAGGGGGAAGAAATTTGGACCAGGGGGGTGGGCAATGCTTTTTAACAAATTTATCCACTCCAAAAATCATGCGGGGCATACAAATTCTTTTTACCTAATTTGAAGCCTTCCCTTAACAATCTCCATCACTTTGATATGAAGAAACATGGAACAAACTGAGGGTTGCTGGAGGGGAGGAGGAATGGGGGGATGGGATAACTGGGTGATGGACACTAAAGAGGGCACTTGATGGAATGAGTGCTGGGTGCTATATGCAACTGATGAATCACTAAACTCTACCCCAGAACTAACAATACATTCTATGTTAACCAACTTGAATTTAAATTTTAAAAGAAGAAAAGAAAAGAAAAAAATAACATAAGATTCCATAAGCTCTTACTTTCAGCACATGTTGGTGTTTTGGGATTCCACGTGCCATCTCCTTGGCATCTAGATTCAGGTTGATATTTCTTATAACACTTGTATAAAATTGTGTCTCCAAGGAAATAAGTACAGTTATTCCTAGAACTAGTTCTTGATCTAACGATTTCACCATTCTCCAGCTTTGGTACTGGGCAACATATCTCTAAAAAAAATAAAAAGTGAGGCTAATGGTTAGTAAAATCACTGCAACGAAGCTCCTATGGATAATAATAAGCTCATTTCTGCCTTTTGAAGATTTCACCACTGAAGAGAGATTTGGGAAACAGAAAAGGAGACCTGAGACACTTTGGGTCTGCTTTCACTGTCCCTGATTGCTAAGGTATTCCAACCAAGTCACTTCCCTCCAGCTAAATAATTTCACTGGGAGCCTCCAAAATGAGACATTGAAAGAAACTTGCATGAAAATGTAAATTTTCAGAAATATTCAAAAGCAATGACAAATAACATCATCCATTGCTTATGGCTTCATTAGGGTTACATCATTATTAACCTCTCTAATACCTTACACTTCCTCAGTCACAGGAGGAAAAATGTCCTTGAAAGCTTATATCCACCTGACAGCTAACGCACAAAAATAAATTTAAATTATTGCAAATGACCAGGATTTTACTTTTTTGATGCTGAATATAAGAGAAATAGCTACTCAAATTTCATTTTTAATGCAATAAGAACTGCTATGAAGATATTTTTTATTCATTAGTAAAAATACTTTCAGGTAGAACTTGATATCGCTTGATGTAAGAGAAAGTATCAGAGCAGATTAAAATGCCCTATTCACATAAGGAGCTTGACTAGCTCTATATATAATAGGGGTCTTTTGTGCATATGCAAATATTATTACCACTTATTTATTTGTGAATTACAATAAAATACCCAATATTCATGTTTTCTGAATTATAACATTAGTGTATATGTAATACTGTAGAAGATACTTTTCAATATTTAAGTCATGAATCCAAATCCACACTGAATCAGATTTTCTGATACCTAGGACAAATAACCATTTCACTTCTGCTTTTTAAGTGGTTAAAAAATATCCTTTATTAAATAATTAAATCAATAAAACTATAGTTTCTAAAATAAATATAATTTTAAAATAGGTTTTTAAATTCCCAACAAACAAAGTTCCAGGGCCAAATGACTTCACCATTCACAAGCGAATTCTATCAAACATTCAAAGAAAAGTTAATAGTTATTTTTCTCAAACTGTTCCAAAAACAGAAGAGGAAGGAAAACTTCTAAATTCATTCTACAAGGTTGGTATTACCTTGATGCTAAAACCGGACAAAGACACCACAAAAAAGAAAACTGCAGGCAATACTCCTGATGAACAAAGATGTAAAAATCCCCAACAAAATATTAGCAAATCAAATGTAACAATACTTTAAAGGGACCATTCAGCATGATCAAGGGGGATGTATACCAGGGATGGAAGTATGGTTCAATATTTGCAAATCAATGAATGTGATACATCAAATTAACAAGAGGGAAAATTTTTAAAAACATACGATCATTTCGAAAGATGCAGAAAAAGTACTTGACAAAATACAACATCCATTCATAACAAAATGTCTCAACAAAGTGGGTGTAGAGAAAACATACCTCAACATAACAAAGGCCACATATGAAAAACTCATAGCTAACATCATACTCAGTGGTGAAAAGCTTTTCCTCCAAGATCAGAAACAAGACAGAGATGCCCACTCTTGCCACTTTTATTCAACACAATACTGCAAGTCCTGGCTGTAGCAATCATACAAGAGAAAGAAATAAAAGGGATTCAAACTGGTAAGAAGAAGTACAGCAGTCACTATTAGCAGATGACATGAGACTGTATATAGAAAAACCTAAAGACTTCACCAAAAAAACTATTAGAACTAATAAATTCAGAACTATTGCAGGATATAAAATTAATATATAAAAATGTATTGTGTTTCTATATACTAACAACAAAGTAGCAGAAAGAAAAATTAAGAAAATTCCATTTATAATTGTACCAAGAAGAATAAAATACTCAGGAATAAATTTAACCAAGGAAGTGAAAGACCTCTACTCTGAAAACTATAAGATATTGATGAAAGAAATGGAAGATGACAACACAAAGACGGAGTGATATACCATGCTGATAGTTTGGAAGAATTACTATAATTAAAATGTCCATACTACCTAAAACAATCTATACATTTAATGTAATCCCTATCAAGATACCAATAGCATTTTTTCACAGAACTAGAACATGTAATCCCAAAATTTATATGGAACCATAAAGACTTCTAACAGCCAAAGCAATCCTTAGAAAGAACAAATCTGGAAGTACCACAATCTCAGATTTTAAGACACACCACAAAACTATAATAATGAAAACAGTATGGTACTAGCACAAAAATAGACACACAGATCAATAGAACACAATAGAGAGTTCCAAAATTGGAACTACACTGGGGAGTAAAGGGCATGCTTATAGAGGCAAGTAATCTATAGCAAAGGGGGCAAGAATATACAATGGGAAAACACAGTCTTTTCAATAAATGGTATTGGGAAAACTAGACAGATATGTGCAAAAGAATGAAATTGGACCACTCCCTTACACCATACACAAAAGTAAACCCAGAATGGACTAAAAACCTAAATGTGAGACCTGAAACCATAAAACTCCTAAAAGAAAACATAGGCATTAATCTCTTGGACACTAGCATCAGCAACATCTTTATGGATCTGTCTCCTCAGGCAAGGGAAGCAAAAGCAAAAATAAACTATTGGGATTACACCAAAGTGAAACACTTTTGCACTGTATAGAAAACCATTAACAAAACAAAAAGGCAACCTACTGAATGGGGGAAGATATCTGTAGACAATATGTTCTATAAGGAGTAAATATCCAAAATATGCAAAGAACTTATCAAACTCAACACTGAAAAATCAAATAATCTGACTAAAGAATGGGCAGAGAACCTGAATAGATATTTTTCTAAAGAAGACATACAGATAGCCAACAGACACATGAAAAGACGCTCAGCATCACTCACCATCAGAGAAATGCAAATCAAAACCACCATGAGATATCACCTCACATCTGTCAGAATGGCTAGTATCAAAAAGATAAGAAATAGCATGTATTTGGTGAGGATGCAGTGGAAAGGGAGTCCTTGTGCACTCCCAGTTGGAATGTAAATTGGTGCAACCAAGATATGCGGCAACCCAAGTGTCCATTGATAACAGATCAAGAAGATGTAGATCATTGAATATTACTCAGTAAAAAAAAAAAAAAAAAAGAAATCTTGCCATTTGTGACACATGGATGGGCCTAGAAGGCCCATGACAAAGAACGACAAATCAGACAGAGAATGACAAATACCATATGATTTCACTTATATGTAACATCTAAAAACAAAACAAAACAAAACAAATAGACAGACAGGCTTTTAAATGCAGAGAACAACTGTTGATTGCCAGAGAGGAGACTGGAGGATGGGTGAAGAAGGTGATGGCAAAAAAAAAAAGAAGAAGAAAGAAAAAGAAAAAGGTGATGGCGATTAAGAGGTACAAACTTTTAGTTATAAAATAAACAAGTCATGGAGATGAAAAGTACAGAAGAATATAGAGAATATAGCCAGTAATATTGTAATAACAAATGGTGGCAGATAGTGACTTTACTTCTTGTGGTGAGCGCTAAGTAATGCACAGAATTGTTGAATTCTGTTGTACACTTGAAAGTAATATAACATTGTATGTCAACTACACCTCAGTAATAAGAAAGAAGAAAAGAAAACGATGGAGAAAAAAAGAAGTAGGTTTTTAAACATGTATAAATAAATATTCATTTATATAGAAAAATTAGGGTATAATTACAAGTCGCTATTTTGTATTCATTAAGGAGAATCCTCAAAGGCTTATTAATACTTATTAATACTTTGTTATTTAAGTGGTGGCAATCATTGTTAAATATATTTTAATTCAGTAATTTTGTTAAAACTTTTCAGTTTATTGCCCCCCAAATGAGTCTAAATAACTGCAATTAAGCCTTAAGTCCTACTGTGAAATGAAAGGTCTTCCAATGGGTTGATCTAAACTACTGTTTTTCATTACTTGTTCATTTTACACACTTTTCAAGTTCCAATCTGCAGACCAAAGTTCTCTATATACTGGGCCTCTGTGTCTTCACCTCTAAAATGGCAAGATTCTGGTGTGTGGAAGGAAACATTTTCTCCCTCTGTCATCAATTCCACTGAAGCCCATAAAATTGCGTCTGCCTGTCTTTCAGCCCCTCACACATTCTCTCAAAAAGAGAAAAGACATCTTGAGATTGAAGAAAGTCTCCTTTTTATCCTTCTGAGGCAGGAGTACTGGGTCGGGGATCAGGGGTCAGGGGTCAGGGTCTGTCTTCTAGAGGCAGGTCACAAGACCCAGCTCCTGCAGCCCACAGTCCCATAGCTCAAAGACATGAGACACAAAGTTACTTTGCAGCTGATTGAATTCATGGCTGTTTCACAGACTTTCCTTCTATTAAGCACCCCAAAGTCTACACTGGGGAGTAAAGGGTCATGATGGAGGTCTGGCTCTGGTCATTCTTGAGCAGTATTCTCCATGCTACTTTCACCAGTGATGAAGCTAATACTCAATCTGCATAATGGTTCGCTTCTGTGTTCCTTCTGTGTATCCATGTCTCATTTGATTTTGAAACGGGATAAGGAAAGGTTATCATTTCTCAGCTCCTCCAAGACTTTCATGATCCTTTCTGACAATAATACTTCGCTCTTCTGTTGAATTATAATAATGCTGAATTTATCTCAAAAGATAAAATTGCATTCATTTTAAGAAAAAAAAAGTCTATGCTGGGCACTTGATATACAAAAAGATTGAAGAAACAGAGACTCACCCTTACATTCTATGTGTGGGGTCCAAGTCAAATTTTTCTGACAGGTCAGAGTTGTAGGACCATCTGAAGCAGGTTCATAGCCAAAATGGCACCTGTAGCTCAATGTCGTTCCAATACTATATATTCGCTGTTTTTTTGACAAGAACGAGTTCTGTCTTTCCCAGTAGGCATTTGGGATGTTTGGTAACTCAGGACAACTATCTGCTCGTAAAGGAAAAACAAAGGGAAAAGACGTTGTTACTGAGGATGCAACAGTGATCATCACCAAGCCCATCCTATCAAAGGATGCTATGTGTTCATTGTGCAGCAACCCTCTTGCCATGGCTGATGCAGCAGCCACATCAAAAAACAAACTAGCACCAAGTTATCATTATCACTATTAACATAGTTTTTAATGATCCACATGGTTTATAGTTGCAGAGTGTCAGAATCATAGCTAGTCCATATAATATTTTTGTGGAAGTTAGAAAAAGGCATCTCCCCCACAATCACTTTGCTATTTATCTTTCAAGTCAATTATCATAATGTAATGATTTTGTTAGAACAAAACAGTTTCCTACTAATTGCAAGAAAATTATTGAAATAAATACACTAATCCACAATGTCTACAATGCTGATGTCTCCCTTTAGGGTTGGAGTGTTCACAATCTGTACAACTGTATACGGGAGCCTTTTGTGATATTATGTAAGTCCTTGCCCGGTGTACCGTAACCTTTCTTTTTTCCAACAACTAGAAAAAATAAACCCAATTACTGTTCTAAATTTAAATTTTTACTGTGGTTCACGTGAATTTAGGCACGCAAGTATGCCCCCACCAACATTTCTGGGTCATTTAGATGCCAAACATTGAAATTCCTTCATGGGCCATACTTACTGAGCTCACAAGTGGGAGGAGGAGGATTCCATTCACCATTTTCTCCACAATAGATTAACTTGCTTCCCTTGAGAATATAACCTTCATTGCACTCAAATATCATGTTGTTTTGGTAATTATAGGTGGGTCTAAGTCCAGAGATTATTTTTCCATTTCTAACCTCTGGCCTAGAACAGATGATTTCTAAAGAATCACAAGAAAAGAGAAGTGGGTTGTAAAAGAGAAAGGGCAATAAGAATGGTACTTGCTATTGCTAATCCAGTTTCAACTATAACACTAAAGCTTCAAACAGTATATGTCAGGTAGATACAAGGAAAACTTTTTTTTTTTAAGATTTTATTTATTTATTCATGAAAGACCCAGAGAGCCTGAGACACAGGTGGAGGGAAAACGAGGCTCCTTGCGGGGACCCCGATGGGAACTCGACCCCAGGATCCCAGGATCACAACCTGAGCCAAAGGCAGACGCTCAACTGCTGAGCCATCCAGGTATCCACAAGGAAAACATTTTACAGCAAACATAATTCCAGCTTTTAAAAGCCGCGGTAAAATGAGGCCCCCTCATATTGGTTCTGTTATGATACGATTGTGAATAACTCCAGCTTACTCAAGGAAAACTTGCCATATATAACCTAGAAGAAACACATCCCTCAAAGTCCTCAAATCCTCCGCTCACGGTGGCCTACTTTTCTGCATGATTTCGGTATGGGACAGTGGCCCATGGTGATGATATGGTGGTCATGAGGAGGAGGCAGCCAGGCATCAGCAATCGGTACTCTCACAAAGAACCAACTGCCCACCAGCTACCATATCAGTCCTGCCACCCTGATTCGTCATGGCTAGGATTGAAGCTACCTTTGCAACTCGGCTAGATGGTTGCAACAAGTGTCTCTGTGTTGAATTTTGTCCCACTTTGAATCGTTGTCCATTCTGTAGTCAGACTTGTCTTTCTGAAACGCAACACATTTACTTCCCTGGTTAAAGCCTTTCAATGTTCACCTTTGCTCCGAACTCCTCAGAGTGACACATGAGGCCCTTCGTAACCTGCCTCTGCTAACTTCCTATTTCGGTCTCTGCCATTTCCACCTCTTGCTGTCTGGACTCCTGGCATTTTGAATCGTCTGCAGTATCATGTTTTATCATCCCCTGATTTGATCGTGTTCTGTGGTGAATCAGAATTGTAAGGGATATCCCGTAGGCACTTAGGAGCAAAGGAAGATGCCTCATATTAGCCAACTAACAATACACAATAGAGCTTCTAATTTAATTACCATTGGCCTTGTCCTATAAGCACTTGAGATGGACATTATAACCACTAAGCAATATTCCCACTTCCTCTCCCTGAACAGACAAAAGGCAATATTCCTCAGTTTCCTCAAGGTAGGGTCTACACATTATTAGTTTGGAACAAAAGGCTGTAAAGTGATAGGTGTTCACTTCAGACCAAAGCTCTTTTAGGGAGCCAGGGCATTATTTACTTTTCTCTCTTCACCTACTGAACAGATTTTGAAAGCACGTTTTGATGTGGAAAAACCATAAGATTGAAGTAACCTGGATTGCTAAACTTCTCACTAAATTAACTTCTAGACTACAGCTGGCCCTGGATGAGCAGCAGACTCCATATGAATGAAAATCAACTTGTACTTTGCAAAGCCAATGAGATATCGGTGCTGTTTGTTACTGCACACCAGTACATCATACACAAATATCGGTTGAGTAAATAAATGTCTGTGTTGCAGCAATAATTCATCTTGGAATTATTCCCTTTCTCCCAACAAATTTACCTACCTTTTTCTTTTAAACAAACAGTTCAAACCAAAATTCATCACTCTGACTTACTTTTACAAATAGGAGGACCTGGGCTCCAGACACCTATTGTTTTATTTTCCACCATGCAAGAAATGGAGGCTTTGCCTAACATTGAGAAGTTGGGGTCACATCTGTAGGTGACAGACGAGCCATATGTGTAGAAATCTTCATCTCCACCACTGTGCTTCCCATTGTCGATGTTTGGAGGCGGCTCACATTTAGCAACTGGGGGTGAGTGAAGAAGAAATAATCAGGGCATCTAGTATCTATCGTGGCATCTAGCATTCATGATGAAAATTCTTTTTGTTTTAAATTTTTTATTTATTTATTCATAAGAGAGAGAGAGAGAAAGAGACAGAGAGAGAGATGGAGGCAGAGGGAGAAGCAGGCTCCATGCAGGGAGGCTGATGGGGACTCAATCCCAAGACTCCAGGATCACACCCTGGGCCAAAGGCAGGTGCTAAACCACTGAGCATACTGAGCCACCTGGGAATCCCCTGAAAATTCTAACAGAGGGTACAAGAAGCAACAAAGATGCACTAGAGTTTTATTTTCTAACATGGCTTATGTTTACAGTTAAGTCAGAAAAAGTCTTTACTTACTTATACATAGTGGGAGAGGATCACTCCAATCAACTCCTTTATCTTGGATCTCACAATAACTAGTAGCTGGGCCAATTAAAATATATCTGAATGAGATAGGATTGAAGATTTTAATGAAATTCTTCTTACCCTAAATTAAGTTGGATAAAAGGGTCTGAACAAATAAACAGGTTATTCAATAGTAAAAAGGAAGAAAGAATGTTTTCCAGAGAACATTTGCCATTGAGCCTTCCACATAACTAAAACTTCATCATTGCAATGAGCTGTGTGTGTTCATTCCCTCTTGTATTCTGGAATCTGTTATTGGGGAGCAGCTATATATTATGCATGGAGCTCATCCAGAGCTCAACCAGGACAATGTCGGGTAAAAGACTCATTTGAATGTGTTCCACAATTTTGTCTAAATGACAGTAGCAGCCAGGTTACCAGCCCCAAACCCTCAGGCCCTCTGACATGCAGCCTCCCTCTGACTTCCAGATCTCACCTTCTCCAATATACCCTTAACTCCCCCATTCACGATCCCCATTTTTATGGCTCTTGGCAAGTTCTAAGCCTTCTTCAGTTTGTCTTACTGCCCTCTGTGTATCATGGTAACAGAAAGAGCATTGTCCGTATGTTTTAAAATGATAATCATCAAGGAATAAATGTACACTATGATTGAATACTATCTTCAGCAAACTAGAGCCCCTGGGATTTATTTAGTAATAACTTAAAGAAAAATGAACCTTTTAATAAGATACGAGACAGTGAGAATCAAGCATTTCTTTATCTTGAAATTTCTTAAAAATCTAAGTTTTCTAAACTACCCAGGAAACCAAGGGAAAGGTATGGTTTCCGGTTATTCCAGTAGGAACACTTCAACATTCCAACAGCACTTCCCTTCTGAATCGTCTCACTTTCCATCTGGGGAGCCATACACAGTAAGAGATAAATAAGGATTCATGTGAGAAAACCAAACAAAAGGAAACAACATTAGAGGAAAATGTTAAACGCAGATGACAAGCAAAGGACAATCAGCATGTACTTAGTTGGAGAACCTGAAGAAGGAACAAAAAACAGAACAAAACAGCTATTTTAAAATGTATTTCAAGTAAGCCTTAGAGAAATAAAATAATACTTAATCTACATTTGAAAATAGCAGTACATAGCAACAAAGTATTGAACTCAATGGCCTGTGTCAAAAAAACTAAAATTACTAAAGATCATTTTGAGTGAAGGCACATAAAATACACAAAGGAAGGGCACCCTGACTTCCCCTTTTCTTCCTGAATTCAGGAGATAAAACTCTGTGAAAGATGCTCTCCCTATACAGGAGGAAAAGAATAATCTTATCACCAGAGATGGGGAGGTGAAGCCAAGAGAAATCTGTACAAATAGACCTCGTCAAAATAACTCTTATCTTCCTGTGGCCCTCCCACGGATTTTTGTTCCTTTTCCACAATTGCTACTTTTGGTTCAATCTACTATATAAAGACTGTGGCCTAACCACTTTTTGGGTCTTAGTTTTCATGAAGGTTCCCATGTACATCAAAAATAAAATTTGTGTGCTTTTCTTCTGCTAATCTGCTTTATGTCAATTTAATTCTCAAGCCCAGTCAGAGACCCTAAGAGCATAGAGGAAAAGTTTTCCCTTCCTTATACTAGCCTATTCTTGTCCAGGGAGATTCAATGTAAAAAAAAAAAAAAAAAAAAAAAAAAAATTCTATTCTTCAAAAATTAAGTTAAACACTAATCCAGCACTGATTTTAAAATATGCCTAACTTTAAACTTTATATAGAAAAATAAACAAGTACTGTCAGGAAATTTTTTAAAAAGCAATAAGGTGGAGTACTCAAATTGGCTATTAAAACATATTATAAAGCCTTGATAGTAGGTCACTGAAATGTGTATATGAGTATGTAGACAAAATAATGGCATTGAATAGAACATATACAGATACATACAAGATACATTTGAGAATTTAGTATAATATTAAAAAGCTTCCTCAAATCAGTGAACTGAAGATGGACTTTTGAGATAATGTGAAAGTCATATGGAAAAATATAGCCTAGGATATTTACCTTACACTGTAAATTATATATTGACTCCAAATGGATCAAAGCTTTAAACATTTAAAAAATGTGAAAACATAAAAATAGCAGAAGAATTCTAGGCAAATAGTTTAAAATCCTGTGCTGGAGAAGGGCTTTTACATGAAGATCTAAGGGGCGCCTGGGTGGCTCAGCAGTTGAGCGTCTGCCTTTGGTTCAAGGCATGATCCTGGAATCCTGGGATCGAGTCCCACATCAGGCTCCCTGCATGGAGCCTGCTTCTCCCTCTACCTGTGTCTCTGCCTCTCTCTGTCTCTCATGAATAAATAAACAAAATCTTTAAGAAAAAATAAATAAACAAATAAAGACCTAAAATCCAGAAGCCATTTTAAAAAGAGAATTTTATAAATTCAAAGCATAAAACAATTTTTCCCTGAAAAGAAAAAATGTATCAATAGCCAAGTCAAAAGAAAAATAATATACTCAGCTCCTACCAGAAACAAGTCCTAAACCCTAATATGCATATATATGTTCATGTATGTATGTATCTATCCTAGAAATTAATAAAAATTTCATGAAATTAATTGAAAAAATAGGCAAAGGATATGCCAAATAGTTCAAAAACTAATACAAATATCTCTTGAACACACGAAAAAATATGCTCAACCTCACTCATAATAAGAGAACTATACCTTGGCACTATACCATAAGATTTCATTTTTACCTCTTAAATTGGAAAATTTTTAAAAATTTCACATTTTCAAAAGATTGACAACACAGTTGGAAAGTTTATGAAGAGACAGACGTTTACATACTCTGTAAAACATTGTAACTTCTAAGGATAGCAATTTAGCAAAAATCTTTCAAACTTTCAAATATGTGTACTCATTGACCCAGAAAACCCACTCTAGAAATTTACCCTACTGATATAACTACATCTGTGCAAAATTGTACATGTACAAAATGATGCATCAGAGCACCGATCAGAATAGCAAAACATTGGAAACATCTGTGGATCCATCAGATTGTTAATCCGCGACACATCACAGGATAACATTCTATGAAGCTGTAAAGGCAAATCAGTGCGGTACTTCTATGCACAAATGCGATACGATGTCCTATGCATATTGATGAGTCAAAAATAAAGCAAGATTCAAAACTACACTTGTCATTGGAGAGGCGTAAAATAAAAACGTACTAATTTTTAGCTTGCATTTGTAAAAGCAAACACCAGAAAGATACGTAAGAAACCAATAAAAGTGGTTATCCCTGTATAAGGACATGAAAGAATGGGGTGGATGGCAAGAGGGTAGAAGTGAGAATTCTCAGTGTATATGGTTTTACATCATTTTTACTTTTGAAAAATATGAGCTATTTATGAAAAATTAATTTAAAAGCATTGTATCTAGACGGCTTCACACTCACCCTTCTGAACAAACGAATTCCAAGTGTGATCCAAACAAGTGATCTGGCTTAGCTATCACTTGCCCATTTTGTAATTCTCCTGGGTTTTTGCATCGTTTCTCTGACAGAAAAATTAAAATGATAATTAGTGATTCCGAGTACTCACAGATAAGGCATTAGAAAAGAAGACCGAGTGATTAGCTTTGACAGAGGCTTCCAGAAAGATCTGGAGGTTGAGATCCAAATTTATGTCTGATCCCGACTCACTGAATTTTTACTTTGGAGGATAAATGATTACAAAATTTGATCTCATGCTTTTCTGGTACATTTCACCAACAGTGAAAAACAGTTAAAACTCTGTGGTAATGGAGTCTGTGGTCCAGGATAGTTGATCATTGTTCAGGGAGCTACACTCCATTCTGGATCTGTGGTACGTACTTCATATTGAGGCATGCATGTCCTTGGTCACAAAAGGGACAACACGAAGTGTACATACCCTCACTGTTGGGAGAACATTACGGAATTTATTCTCAACTATAAGTGAATCACAGAATCTTCTCTCAAACATAGCAGATATTTTGGGTGAAGTTTCTTTGGAAACGACACTGCCTCTCTCTAGCTACATAACTTTTTGTAACTTTGGAGAGAATGAATCTGGGTCTCAAAATATTAAAATTCAATTTGTAGTTCATCTCAGAAGGAAGTGTTTAGTGAGTTACACTGTAAAGGATAAGCTTCTTTTTCACTGCAACTAGGTAATTCGTAATTTCTGCTTTATTTGTTTTTTTTGTTTATGCTTTTCCAAAAAGCAGCACATGTATGTACCTTGAAATCAGTGACTAAACAACGATGGTTTCTTAGTGATCAAAGATTCTCATCTGGTCATTCTCTTAATTCCTGAGACAACTTTGCAAAGAAAGGAAAAGTATAGGTAAGAAAAATAAATGTTCATACTTACTGGTACAGAATTCAGAGTAGTTCCATGTGTCATCCTGACAGGTAACAGTCGTACTTTTATAACTAACCCTACCGTAGCCGGGACGGCAGGTGTATTTCACGGTAGCTCCAGAGTAGAAGTGTGTCTCATTTGCCACAGTTGTCATTGGAAAAGCAAAGATTAAATTTGGTGGAGGGCCACAATCTCCTGGAGAGTAAAAAGGACAAAGAGAACCAGCAGTTATGGCTTGAAACACAGCATCTTAATGTTTCAGTAGTATGATTTTTAGATCAAGGTCCATGCTTTTCTCCTCTAATTAAGAAAAATAACAACTCCTATTGTCCCCATTGTTCAATGATCCAGTGAGTGATCACTATTGTCCATTTGCTGATAAATGATAATGATGAAAGGCAGAAATGTTTCATTCCCTTTCTACTGTAAATGAGATAATTTATCTAAAGGATGGCAGACTTTCTACCCATCAGATTCCTTCTATCTGCTGACCCAGAGATAGCTGGACAAAGCCAGTAGTTCCTACAATTTTCCTCAGCAGAAACATCATTTAATCAATAATAACATTATGTAAGATTGGTTGTCTTGGGAAAGGGAAACTAGGTGGCTGGGAGATGGATAAAAACCACATTTTTAATCTGCATCTTTTTGTATATGTTGGATGTTGAATGATGCAAAGGAAGACGCATGGAGTCCTGGAAACATAAAAATGTTAATTCAGCTTTCCTTGCAAGAATTAAATAGGGGACTAAATTACCTCACAGGAGACCTAGGAGAAGTCTTTACTTATTTCTCCTCTCTATTCTGGATAGACCTAGAGGCGGTGAAAATTGGTCAGTTGGGCTGATAGATCCCACACACTTGTTTTAAGTCATGATTGGGAGACAAATTGTTTTGGAAACTCCTGGAGGAGAAATGCTAGGGGGCATTCTAGAAATGCTAGAGGGTATTCTAGTCTAGAAAACTATCCCTTTTGTGGATAAAACAAATTCTCTCTCTACATCCCAAATAATTCCAAATCCCCTTAAATGCCAAATTCCAAATTCCTGGTGAAATAAGGTGGCTTTTTATCAAAAGCTTAATCATCTGTTCATCTTAAAAGCAAATGGGTGGATGATCTTGAATGTTTGTTGCTGATCTGAACTTATCTCTCTATTATTACTCACCAAGAACAGTAGCCAATAGAGCAGCGACCAAGGTCATTTGGAACAGAGTTGGATCAGAGACTTTCCATAGCCTAGACAAGGGCCGAGCTGCCATTTTCTCATTTCTGTGAAGGATCCCATTTGGAGCTCTGAGGTGCTTGACCTGATGATTCCCCCACATTTTTCTGCCAAAAGAACTCAGTTTAATCAGCAGTCATTGATTCCTAGTTGTCATAAAGCATGAGGATAAATACTATGGGGACGGTCCACATCTTCAAGGAAATCATGGCCTGGAGTAGAAGGAAGCACATGTACATAAATGTTCCAACACAAGGCAGGGGGTGTCAGCCTTGGCTCAGAGAAGAGATGGGGAGGTGGTTGTTAAGAAGGGACAGCTTATAGATGTGTCTGATTGGGACACAAGAGGCGGGTTTAGGAATTTATAGATGCTACCCTTTAGGGAATAAAGAACCACTGTTTTTCATTTTGGATTTTGTTTTCCCTTTGGGTTTTTAAGATTTTGTTTATTTATTCATGAGAGATACACAGAGAGAGGCAGAGACACAGGCAGATGGAGAAGCAGGCTCCCTGTGGGGAGCCCAAGGGGGACTTGATCCCAGGATCCTGGAATCAGGACCTGAGCAAAAGGCAGATGCTCAACCACTGAGCCACCCAGGCATCCCTTTGTTTGCTTTTAAGCTAAGAAAGGACTCATGATTGCACTTTAAAAAGATCATTGTGGCAGATGTGTACCTGATAGACCACAGTAAACAAAGAGAAGAAACTGGACGGTTGACGAAGAAGGCTATTGCAATTGTCCAGGTGAGCCGCAGAGATGGTCTGACCAAGAAAATGGCAGAGGAGGTGGAGAAGAGGGAACAAATAGAAGACAAAATAATCACAAAAGGCAAGAAAATGATGAGAAAAGGAGAAAAGGAGTCAAATCTTTAGAGTACTGAGAGTTCCTCATGACAACTGTCGACAGAGGCAATAGACATTCATGCAATTTGCAGTTTTAAGAGAATGGTTTATGGAGAGATACGTATATATGTATGTGTAGTTATACATGCAGCTGTATAAAGAGAAAGAAAAATATTTATGACAAATTGTACTTTCATATTTGATCAAAAAATTTAAAGACTTCTTTATTTTTATTTATTTTTTATTTTTTACTTTATAGAATCTTTTTTTATATAAATTTATTTTTTATTGGTGTTCAATTTGACAACATATAGAATAACACCCAGTGCTCATCCCATCAAGTGCCCCTCCTCAGTGCCCATCACCCAGTCACCCCCACCCCCCGCCCACCTCCCCTTCCACCCCCCCCAGTTCGTTTCCCAGAGTTATGAGTCTCTCATGTTCTGTCTCCCTTTCTGATATTTCTCACTCGTTTTTTCTCTTTTCCCCTTTATTCCCTTTCACTATTTTTTATATTCCCCAAATGAATGAGACCATATAATGTTTGTCCTTCTCTGATTGACTTATTTCACTCAGCATAATACCCTCCAGTTCCATCCACGTAAAGACTTCTTTAAAGCAGAATCACGAAGACCCCTTTTCACTGCCACTCCTGTTCCCTTTGGGAAAAACAATCTATCTTAAATTTACATTAGAAAGAGTCCTTGTCCTTAAAGCAATATTCAAAGTTAACTCCCAAAGAAATACTGAATTTCATTGTTTATTCTGATACCTGTTAGAACCAGGCGATTCTCTATGCCCCATGTGTTCACAATTCATACGATGCGTGAATCTTTTGAGGGCCTTCAAATTTTCCCTCAAAGATGCTTCTGTCCCACATTTTACAGGAAGAGACAAGTTTCTAATGACTCTTCATACCATAGGGGTGGACCTAACTTCTTCATTGAGTAATGACTCATTTAGTCTTATCTTTCTAAAATTCAGTTCTGCTAAAGCTATTCTTCCAAAGACTGTCAGTCTACCTTGACAGACACCCTGACCCCTGAGCTCTGGACGTGGCCACTAGGACAATTCCACCAAAAAAGAAGTTCAACCTGATGATCCACTTGCCAAATGCGTTCGCTTACTAAAATACGTTTACAGAATTTGTACTGAATACCTTGATGTGGTCTAAAGAGGTGTTAGGAGCCAGGATCAGCATTTGGGGCCCTGACACACCTCCTTTCTTTTTTGTTTGCCCCTTCCTCCTCTCCCAACCTCTGGACTCTCTTCCTCTTGCCTTAACAATCCAGATGAGATGGAAGACAGGTGGGGGTAAGGGTAGTTCCAGGTAGTGAAACCCAGTCCATTAAATCATCCATGAAATTTGCAAAATATAAATTTCTCCCATCCAATGAAAACTGTTATGAATTGTAAAACCTATAGAAATGAGTTTCTTTCCCTTTTTTATGAGTTCAGAGAGTTGGTATGGTTGCTGAATTTCAGTGAATTTGGAGAGATTTAAAAATATACCACTAAAAAATAGAGAATAATAAAAATATACCAATATAAAAATATACCAAAAATATACCAAGTATTTTTTTAAATTTTCAAAATAAGCTGGAAACTGTTTTTAATTTTTTAAAAAATGAAGATGACTAAACTAAAATAAAAATACCAATATATTGACATCATAGAATTTGACTGTAAAAACTCAAGAGGCTGATAGTATAAAGTGCAAATTGCCCATATGAATTGTTGCAGTTCTTATGTTCACAATAGAAGCATATACATTGTATATACTCAGGAAAATGAGTATATATACTCATATACTCAGTATAATATACTCATGAGTATATTTATAAAAATATAGCCATAAGACTACATCCTTACTTTTAAGAATTGAAAAGAAATCTATCAGGGAATGAAGCTGGTGCTATTCAGGTGTTCCTGTGGTTCGAGAAGAGGGGGGAGTGATTTTGGTTATATGAATGGGGGGAATTAGACGCATATATTGTAGAGTTAAAATTGGTTGTTCAGTTATGTTTGAGCAAATAGGATTTATTGTGTGATAATAGGTTATATAGAGTTAGGGGGTGGATGATGTGTGGGATTGATAATGATTATGATATGGCTTGGGGGGAGGATTGGTATGGGGGGGGTGGTTGCGGCGGGGGCGGCGACGGAGGGGGTGGGGGGGGGAGGGGATGTATTAATGGTGTAGATATTTGTAAAATTAATTTAATGTATAGAATAAAAATGAAAATTATAAGAATGATATATTTAAATGATTGAAGAGAATTTTAATTATAGTTATGAAAGGATTTTATAATGTGTTTAGTAATGGAGAATGAAATATGATTTTGATTTTTAAATATAGGTGGTTATATTGTTGTGAAGAGGTGGCAGTTAAATGAATGAGGTTGTAGGTATTAAAATATAGAAATATGGTAATTTGATGTATTGGGGGGGTAATTATTGACGAGGAAAAATAATTGTTAATGATAAATGAATAAATAGTTTTTGGCATATAAAGGTATTTGAAGTTAATTTTTTAAAAAGAGAGATAAATATTGATTTGAAGATCATTTTATGTTAATAGGAATTAGTTAAGATTTAAAGAATTTGTGTGTCGAAGGTAAAGATTGTTATATGGACTTTAATAAGAAGGCTAAAATGTAGCTTCTTGAAATATGAAAACTGTGTTTTTATTTATTGATATTAAACTGAAATTTAAAATGATAGAAATTATAATATGCTCATTCACCAGAGGACAGTGAGGAGGGAAGGAATGGGCAAAAACTAGTTCTCCTCCCTCCACAGGTTATGAAAGAGGAGAAAAGGCAGCCATCCATACAGACCCTCCATTGTGCTGAGGAGTTCATGTCACTTGGCCTCACACTGAGGCCACAGACACAGTGCTGGAGACACAAGAGGACAGTATGTGGCCAGACTATGAGGCATGGACTCTGGAGTCAGATCCAGGCTATGTGGATTGAATCCTGGCTCCAGCAGATGGGAACCGGGTGTCCCTGGGCAGGATACTCCGCTCCACTAAGCTTCAATTTCCTCCTTTATAAAATGGGAATGAGGAATATACACATCTCTCAGAACTGCTGAGAGCCACCTTGGCTCGGTGCACAGATGGCACACAGAAAACATTCAAAAGAAATGTCAGAGAAGAAAGTGAAGGGATTGGGACCACGTGCCAACCCGACCTGAAGTCAAAACATCATCATCAAAATGATGTATGAATGGGGCACCTGGGTGGCTCAGTCAGCCTCTGACTCTTGATTTTGGCTCAGGTCATGATCTCAGGGTCTTGAGATTGAGCCCAGAGTTGGGCTCTGTGCTCAGTGCAGTCTGCTTGCCTGTCTCCCTCTGCTGCTCCCCGTGCCTGGTCTCTCTCTCTCTCTCATAAATAAAAATAAAATTAAAAAAATTAGTGATGAAAATTACAATGACATTTGGCTACATCACCAGGTACTTAATTAAACTCCAGTGCAGAGGAAAGCCCACTGGACTTGGGCCAGAAGCCATCAGTTCGGTCTTCACCATGGCCTTTGGTGATGGTGAGATGCAGGGCCACCTGCAAAGCAGAGACTCTGGAGCCCACAGGGGCCTGTCCTGGGGCTTCTTCTTTCCCCAGTTTTCACTGAGGGAAACTCACATAGTCCCACAACATTGACCATCACCCATGAATCACTCACAGACCTCTGGGCCCAGCTGTCTTCTATAAGTGCAAAAACTTACAGGCTTCATAAACTCAGTTGTTAATAAAAATCTTACTTGACCCTATTCAGTCCCATACATAAATTTTGAGTCTTTGGGCCCACCTCCATTGATCTTGTCACTAGCAACTGGAATTCCAGTGTTTAGCTTTGAAATAGTGAACATTTCTAAAAAATCAGTGAAAGAAATCCCAGCAAAGTAAGGAGAAGCTATTTTGTCTTCCCCTGTAGCTGCACAAAAGAAGACATCCTCATCAAAACGATGACCTTGCAAATATTATTTCGGGACTTTAGAGATCATTGCTCTGCCACTTGAACAAAACTTTTCGATTATAGACTCCGGAAAAGTCTATCATTCTAACTGGTTATCTTCACAAATTACTTTTCTGTCTGGGATAATATTTAAATTACATTTCTGTTTTTGAGTGTGACAAATACCTGTGAGTGTTCTTTGCAAATCCAGAAATAAGTCCTGAAAGTAAACTCAAACTTTTCTCTTTGTTGGACTTCTCTCTTTCTTTAAAAGATTTTATTTGTTTAGTTATTTACTCATTTAGTGAGTGAGCCGTTTGAGTAGGAGGAGGGGTAGACGGAGAGGGAGAAAGAGAATCTCAGGCAGGCTAGACTTGGGGCTCAAGCCCAAGACCATGAGATGAGGAGCTGAGCTGAAATCAAGAGTCTGATGCTTAACTAGCTGAGCTACTCAGGCATCTTGTTAGATTTCTTTTTTAAAATATCAGCTTTATTGAGGTGTAAGTGCCTAAACTGTGAGATATTTAAAGTGTATATCATAGTGATTTGACACAGGTACACCTAGTGAAAGGACTGCCTCCCTTTCAGCCACCCATTTTGTCAATGAACATGTCCATCACCTCAATATTTATCTCTTTTTTTTGTGTGATAACATTTAAGTTCTACTCTCTTAGCAAATTTTAATTATACAGTACAGTGTTATCAAATATAGTCACCATGTTTTACATTAGATCCTCAGAACCTCTTTATCTTACAGATGAAAATTTGTATCCTTTTACCAAGCTCTCCCTATTCCCTACCCCCAACCCCTGGCAACCGATTGTTGAATTTCTTATTTAAGCAAAAATCCTTTTTTTAATTTTTTTTACGTTTAAGGTATAATTCCCAAGGTTTACATCCGTTTTCTAACTGCATCATTTGTATCTCCCATGCCCCTTGAATCCAATGTATCCCAAAGGAAACCCACTATCTTCTCTCCAACACACTTGACCTCTGTGTTTTCTGTCTGGGCTAAGGTAATCATCTCCATCCAGCATCCTGGACTAGAAACCTGAGCCATCCTGGCCTCCTCTCTCTTGCCCACCCCTGCCCCCCATGTTCAGTCTCCAAGTCCCATTACGTTGGCCATAGCAGCACTAGAATCTGCACTCTTTCCTACACCCACCCCCCTTCCATAATCTGGATTTATGTACTTATAATTTCCTTCACCCACCCTAGACCACTACTAAAGCCCCTATACATTTGTAAACCAGCTTGTAGGCTGATTCCAAAAAAGCAATTTACTTAAAAACTCCAATGGTCCCAAATTCACTAGGTTTCCATATCTCTCCCAACCTTCCTCTGCTTCTACTCACTTGAAACACTCTGCCTTAACTTCATGAAGGTTTTTATCTTTCTCAAACACATTCTGGATCTCTTTAAAGATTTTATTTATTTATTTATTTATTTATTTATTTATTTATTTATTTATTTATTTATGAGAAAGAATGCATGCGAGAGAGCACAAGTAGGCAAAGCAGCAGGCAGAGGGAGAGGGAGAAGCAGACTTGTCATGGAGCAGGGAGCTTAACACTGGGGCTGGATCTCAGGACCCTGGGATCATGACCTGAGCTGAAGACAGATGCTTAATGGATCGAGCCACCCAATTGCCCCATCCTGGATTTTTTTTTGACTCTTACAAGCATTTGCATATAACCTCTCTTGTGCACGGATGCTCTTGATTCACTGTCCAGATCAAATGTCACCTCCTTAATGAAGAATTGTCCAAACCCATCGAGAAATATGACTCACTTCTATGCTCCCCTAGTATTTCCCTGATACCTTAATCGTAATACCACATTGTATTGTTTCTATTCACTATTCACTTACTTCCTAAAATAGATTGCGGGTCCCATGAAGACATGAAGATGTTAATTCAACTTCTTAATTTGCTGACCTGATACTGTAACTATAATAGTTATCCAATAAATGTGAAATAAATAAAACTCAATATAGTTTTATCTTCAGAGTAAGAATGACTAACTAACTGCCTTACTGAAGACGAAGTGGAATGATGTCTATGAAGTGTTTCATAAATTTTGGAGAGATAAATAATACAGTGATCCCACTTCCCTCACTAGTTCTCCAGTTGTGTGGTGGCTCAGTGGGCCAGGGGTGGCATCCGCAGTTCACCATCACGATGCCTGTGGTCCGTCAGTCGAACCTGCACAGGATTCAGCAAACCACAGAGGATGGGGATGGAAACTAGGACTTGAGAGTTAAGGAGACCCTAATTAGAGCCCCAGTCACACTACAGTCTAATTCTATGATCTTGAAGAAGCCATGTCAGCTCCGTGGGTCTTAGTTTCTCAACTCTCAAACGATGACAGTAAACTTAGATCATCTTTCCATTCCGTACAAAGTCTGGAATGCTATTAGCTGCCCACTGAAAAGCTTAGACTTCCCAGGCAAATGCCCTAATATTTTGATGACATCTTCACCTTTTAAATTCCTATAGAAGTGAAACCAACTCAAGAGTTATAGCCAACATGGCAGGTCTCTGATGGCTTGCACAGTGCAGCACAATTTGAGAGGCACTGGAAAAATCCTCAGCCCCCAACTTTCTCCTTCCATTAAAGATTACTTTTTTAAGTCCATGTATTTATTTTGTCTACACTCTAAAGCTTACATACCTCCTGGGGTGCCTGGGTGGCTCAGTCAGTTATGCGTAGCAGTAGCAGCTTCAGCTCAGGTCATGATCCCAGGGTCCTGGGATTGAGACCTGAGGTTGGGCTCCCTGCTCAACAGGGGAGTTTGCTTCTCCCTCTCCCTCCTGCTCATGTTCTATCTCGCTATCTCTCTCTCAAATAAATAAGATCTTTAAAAAAAAAAAAAAAAAAGGAAAAAAGCTTGCCTACCTTTGGAAAGGGTAATATTTTTCTCCAGTCTCAGCTCCTTTCTTATAGCTGCTCACTCAAATCACATCACTTCCAGATCCCAGAAAGAACTTGCTTACACACTTTCACTTCCTTCCTGGAATCTCTTTATCTATCAGCTTCTTCCTTATGTGCTCATATTATATTCAAGTGTATCACTACACTTAAGCCAAACCTTCTCTGATGCTTCTGCTCATTCTGGATATTCTATTTTTCATTCTCTTTGTAATACTGTATTTAGAGAGACAGAACAGGAATCAGCTAAGAGTGGTTGAGGAGTCAAAAATAAGAACAAGAATAGTACTGTGTCTTGCCCCACCAAGGGAGAAGGAAACTTCGAGAAAGAAGAGTAATCAACATTGCTGAATTCACAGAAGTGAGGAAGAGAAAGGAGGTGAGAACAACTAAGGCTTCTAGCTTCAGAAAGCTAACTGGAGGCTGACCAACATCCTTCTTATTACCAAATCAAAAGATCTTTGCTGTTGATGGTGGAGAGGATGTGAGGGGGGTTAATTAAATCTCAAAGGGCATTGCACCAATTTTTAGGCTGTAGCCTATACAAACCAGGTCTTCTGTGAAACCCTTTGGAAAGTCTGCTTTACCTCCTGCCTCAACTCCTATGTGGAGTGATGGTAAAGAATCAATGAACCAACACTCTTGACTTTTAGATACAATAGCGAGAGTCACCTTTCACTTCCTTTCTGCTTTAGTTTATTAGTATGCATTATTATTCCCCATTTATAATTTAAAAAATGAGGCTCAAATGGATTAGAAGTACTTTTCAAGTCATATAATCCACTAATGCAGTACTCCTGAAAAGATTTCAGCTGAAAATACCCTCCAAGTGTTTGTCTTATCTTTCTAATCTTGTCCTCCTTAAAAGGCCAAACACACCGGCCTTTTCCTCAAGGTACCCCAAGTAACCCACTGACCTGCAGGTAGCTGAAGAAGAAGTAGAAGACTCTATTGTGGGGCCTTGGGTCGTTTCTCCAGGGAAAAAAACGGTCTGGATCTCTAATAATTTTAGTTCCTCCCCAGATCAGAGTTTACCAGAGTCCCCTGAAGCTAGCTGGTAATTGCACCACCACAAAGTCCCTGAATTCCAGGCATGTGATTGGCTGATCAGGGATGGCTAAGTTGTAATGGATGGGCAGAGACTTTCTACTGGCCCAGTGAATGATTAACAACAGAAATAAAGCACTGGTATTTACCTAATCTCCTTTTCTGGGCACTAACCCTTATTCTTGATAACATGTTGCAATCATTTGTTTTCTTCTCTGCCAAGCATTTCCCCTAAGTGGAAAGGCAATATGAATTTGATGCCAAGATTCTTTTTTCTTTTCATAAATACAAGGTAGACATATATATTGCAATGCAGCTAGCCTAGAAAACTTGGGTACTGTAGGGTTGAGACTAGGTCCACTTTGATCCACTTTCCACGATGCTAGGTCCAGCAGGCCTTCCTGGGGCTCAGTGACTGATGACTTTGCCCTTGTTGATCTTCATTCCACCCCAAGAAAGCACAGTGGTGGGGGAGTTTAACAAATTTACCCAATTTCTGCAATGTGCCCAGTTGCCTGGAATATAATCAGTATTCAACACATGTTCGTTAAATACTACATTTGTCGGACACCAAATGACTTCCAGAAGTTGATCTGTCATGGAGCGCTGTTTGTGATCATTCAGATCTAGGAAGAACCTCAAACTCTGACATTTATCTAATTAAGGTATTATTCCTCAAAGTCAAGGTTTGTGTGCTTGGGAGATGGCTATTAAAGGGGAATTTTTCCTGAAAACTTCACTTTTTCTGTCATAAATACCAGAAGTCTCGTAAGGGTCTCAGAAAAGAGCAGAGTTGAAGCATCTCACAAGCTTTGACAGAGATACGAGATTTGAGCTGGGCTTTGAATGAAAAGTAGCAAAATTATTAGATAAAAATGAGAAGGTAAAGAGAACATGGGCCAAGTCACAAGGTGAGGCTGATTTGCTGATTTGCCAAGAATGAGTGTAGAGGAGGATTCCAGATTATGCCAAATCTTGAGAGCTAAATTGAAGGAAATACCACCTTTAAAGCTGAGTCTTCGAAATACCATTTCCCAAATCTACAGAGTGCTTTGCTTTCCTTTCCACAGTGACTGTTCCAAGTTTTTCTCTCCAGGTCACCGAACGGTTTTCTTCTCAGCTGGTGATCTTGCCTCCTAGTCCACTAAACAATCATTCTACAGTAGCTTCTATTCACCTCACATTTCTCTCCTAGTTTTTTTTTTTTCAAGATTTTATTTGAGAAAGAGAATGAGAAGGAGAGGGAGAGAGAGAGCAGGAGGAGGAGGGGCAGAGGGAGAAGGAGAAGCAGACTCCCCGCTGAGCAGGGAGCCGGATACAGGACTGGATCCCAGGAACCCAGGATCAACACTTGAGCCAAAGGCAGACCCTTAACCGACTGAGCCACTCAGGTGCCACCTCTTAGTCACTCTTGCTTCAGAAGAGATCTCTTTGTTCTTTTCTTATTTTCAATGCATCTTTCATCCTGAAATATTCCCTAAATCTTGCCAAAACCTCAAATTCCATTTTTGCTCAATCATGAGATAATGAAGTTCTTAGGTCTCCTGAGTTTCCTGCTTATTTTCTCCTTAATCCCCCTCCTTCCGCCCCTCCTGTTGTGGCCTCCCATTCTGGCTTCTTCCCTCGCTTAGGGACATACCTCTTTCAGGCACGCTCTTAATTCCTTATCTCCTGATTTCTTATCAGTCCTGATGATAATCTCCTTTCTGAAACTCTTCTCCTTTGATTTCCATTTTCATGAACTTTTCTGATTCACCTCTTTTACAAAATGCTTAGTTGTTCTTACCTCTTCTTGTTCTTTCTCATCCCTACGTATAGATATGTCCCAGGTTCTTCTTTTCAAAAATATTTCTCTTCATTACCTTTATCATACCTGCCGTCATGGCTTTATTCCTTATAAGAGAACTACCCCATGACCACCTCTGTATCTCTGATCACTCTCCTTAATGCAGACTTACTGTGTTTGTTGCCCATCGGACACCTTAGAAGCACCTTACATGCCGCACATCCAAAGGGGAACTTCTCATTTCCTGCCCAGAAAGATGCTTCACCTTCTGACCCCAACAGTAATTTGGACTTCCAGGAATGGAATTTCAAATTCACCTTTAAACCCTTCCTCTCCCTCATCCTCCAATGTTTGATGAGTTGATTATTTGTTTTTATTTGATTTTCCAATGTCCCTCACATATTCTCTCTCTGTTTCTGCTGCTCAGGTTATCCTTGTCTCCTGCATGGACTACTGCAGTAGCCCTTAAAATGGTTCCTTTCTCTCTATTCTTTTCCTACTTCTACAGGTACTACAAACTGTTGTGAGCCAAGTCTGTGTTTGGTGCTTATCCCTTCCTTTCTTGGATGTCTTCAATCTCTTCTCACTGAGTACCAAATAAAGTTTAAATTCTCTAACATGCCCTTTAAAAGCCTCCAGAAACTGGCCTTAATGTGTCTGTCCAGACTTCTTTCTCATCACTTCATGCTTTATCCAGGCCAACCTAGGCCATGTCCCATTCCCTAAACATGCTCCATCTCCCTTGCCTCTCTGCACGTTTTTTTTTTTTTAATTATTATTAAAAACTCAACTTAAAACATTAAAGAATTCTAAGAGAATAAACACCTGGATTTTCATCATCCTTTTTTTTTTCTTTTTTTTTTTTTTTTTTTTGAGTTTCATCATCCTAAGACAACGGTTTTCATCTGTGCCTGTTATTGTCCGGTCTTTACAAGAAGAAAGGTTTTATAGAAATGCAATCATAAGTTCTTATTATTCTGTATTCTGCTTTAACTTAGAATTATATTTTTAAGATTTTCTGTTCATAAGTAACTTGTAAAAGGTTGCATTACATTTGATGTACCATAATATACTAAAAATTTTCCTAAGATTGGACATTTCAAATGTTCACAAGGTCTCCCAGTACAGAAAATATATACAATGATAGAATGACTAGCTTCAAACTAAAAATAACAATCTGAGGAGTAGATTTACTTGGTTCAAAAGCTTATGACTCTTTATGATGCTCTTACTGCATCTCACTTGTAATATCCTTTGCACTAATCTTTGTCTCTTAATCCTACTTACTTTTAAAGGGCCAATAACTGTGACTCTCCTTAACAATTTTCCTGCCTCCTCCTCTTCAAAGCTGAGTTCCCTTAGCACACTGTTCTGTAAAAAGTGTTAATTTTATTCGAACCACCCTTAATTAATGATATGTGTCTTGTGTCTATTAGTAGACTATGGGCTACTCGAGAGTTTTTTTTTTTTAAAGATTTTATTTATTTACTCATGAGAGACACACACACACAGAGGCAGAGACATAGGCAGAGGGAAAAGCAGGCTCCCTACTGGGAGCCCAATTTCGACGGGGGGGGGGGGGGGGGGTGCTTGACCCTGGGACTCTTGGGGGGTCATGCCCTGAGCTGAAGGCAGACACCCTCAACTGCTGAGCCACTCAGGTGTCCCTACTTGCGAATTTCTTATTCCTGTTTCTTATTCTTCTTCATAACTTCATCTAGGGAGATTCCATTATTTCAAGTTCTCTTCTGTATTTTGTTTGTATTTCATCCAAATTTCCTATGTGGTTTGGTAGAGGTCAGAGTGAGAGATGGGAGAAGCTTGTCGTATCATCTCAATATGGCATCCTGATAGGAAAACCTACACTACCTCAGGATTCTTGCTTCTTCTGCCCTCTAAAAAGAGAAGAAAATACATTCACTTATATTTCACCATCTCAAATTTACCTTGCAGGGCTGGTTTTCATCCAAAGGTGGTAAGCAGTATTACTGCAGAAGATTTAGGAACTTGGTTCCTTAAACAGGATATAGGGGAGACTCAGAAGAGAGTTTAGGTCCTAATTCTACTTTTGTCTCAACAGATCATTTTAAGGATATAACTATCCTGAATCTATTTTCCCAAATTGAGAGGTTAATTTTTGCTTCATAAGTTTTGGTTAATTTGAATTTATTTTTTGCCTCATCATTTGTGTCTCATTAAAATATGAGACATACCCTTAGCTGTGATCTGAGCTTCCCATTCTCCTTACAGACAGGAAATTAGACCCTTCACTCCCCATTAATGTGCTGCTAATTCTAGTCTTAAACAGACAACCACTATACTTGATCTTTCCACATTGTGAGAACAACACACACACACACACACACACACACACACGTTGTTACTATGAAGTTGTTTTCCAATCTAATGAGAAAAAAAATTGAAAATAGTTTTAGAATCAAGAGGAAAATTTATTCGTAGATGCATTTCTATTACCCAGTCTGCTCAGCTACAATGTCAGGACATTTTGGCCACCAACACAGCTTTCTTTATTTCCAGAGAATGTTTTAGCTCCTCCATTGTTAAGCCATTTCCCTTTAGTCTTTGCATAAAGTCTTTTATGGCTTTGCAATATTCTATGTCCTTCTGAAAGGCAAACTGAAGAAAAGAAAAAAAATTAATCGGAGAAGGACAAACAGTGTATGTTCTCATTCATTTGGGGAATATAAATAATAGTGAAAGGGAATGTAAGGGAAGGGAGAAGAAATGTGTGGGAAATATCAGAAAGGGAGACAGAACATAAAGACTCCTAACTCTGGGAAACGAACTAGGGGTGATGGAAGGGGAGGAGGGCAGGGGGTGGAGGTGAATGGGTGACGGGCACTGAGGGGGACACTTGACGGGATGAGCACTGGGTGTTATTCTGTATGTTGGTAAATTGAACACCAATAAAAAATTAATTTATTAAAAAAAGAAAAAAAATTAAGTTAAAATGTAATAACTGAGATCCAGCTGGATGGTCTGAAGCTAATGAGTAGTGCTCAGGCTCGTGACTGGGGGCTCAGAACCAGGCTAGCTTAAAGACAAATCGGAGTCTTCAACATGATGAATCATTTAAATTTGCTGGCTTTTATATACTTATTATTATCGCAGTAATAAATATAAATAAAAGAGGGAATTTCAATGGAAATTTATCTGTTCAGTGGTTTTTGGATCCTAGAAGAATTTTAGACTTTTCACAGCAATACACACAAGTCTAAGACATGAATTCATAAAACTTGTTCTCTAAAGTCCATGGGACAACTCCTACCAATAGGCCCTCATGAGGTATTTGTGATGATGGTGGCAAATGAGAACTTCCACATATGAGTTACTAGCTCATGAGCCCCCTTCTAACAGCCCTTCAAAAACATCCCGCATTGAACAGGTATTTACTGAGCATGTGCCAGAAATGATGCTAGGCTCTAGGGATACAACTGTGAATAAGACAGACAAAAGCCTACTACTTACAATTGTCTTCTCACACTCGGTCTGTGGAGTCGGTTTGGGAGTTTCTTGGATCAATTTACAGACTGGAAGTGTACTGTTCCACTCCCCATCAATGCACTGTTGGTCCTGTGTGCCCACTAAGTGGTATCTGAACAGAAATCAGAAGGGCAATGAATTTAGCCTTCTCACCTTCTGAACTGGGCAACTAAGGCTGGTTTTGTGTAGTTGTATTTCATTATTTCCTACTGTGATAGCATCCACCCCCGACCCTTAATGCATGCTTAAGTTCTCTCAGTATTACAAAACAGTAATCAACTAAAACTATTCTCCTTGGGGGTGGACAGGACCCAAGTGCCAGTTCAGTCTAAAAAACAGGGAGGAGTGAGATTCTGAATGTGTGTGTTTACAACAGTTGTTGGGTGGAGAGCGTGAGGGAAAAAGCTTGTCATCATTCAGTAACTTAAAAAAGCATCTGCTATCTATACTCTAAAAGGGATTGGGAAGCTAGAGATAGCCCTCAAATAAATTTTATGAAGGAGTTACAGCTTTTAATCAGAAAAACATAAAAGTTGACTGCAAAGTCCACTAGAAGTATATAATGAAATTTAAATGCTAATAAGGAGACATGACCCTGAATAAGACTTGAAGCCAAAGAAAGAATAGATCTGTAAGGTGGGTGACTGGGTAGTCTAAATTAAAATTAGCCTTTAATTAAGATGTATTAAAGCTCTATAAATCATTCTCTAAATCTTTCTTTTTCTTTAAAGGATTTTTTTTAATTCAAGTAACTACAAACGGGGAAACCAGATCGGGGTGGGGCAGGATGGAACAATAAATCATTCTCTTTCTGCAGTTCCATATGTTCTATATTTCTTTGAGTTTTTGTTCTGAGATTATTTAGAAAAACATGTATTTTAAATATCTTCGCTAGGATAAATAAGAGGATGAGTCTGTCTTCTAGAGATTGAGGAGAGCTGGCAATGGGCTAAAGCAGCTCTCAAAATCAGAATGAGCTCCGATACCAGAGGCAGTAGGAAATCAGGGCATTAGGTGAGATGGACTGGGTCATTCGCCAAAACAATGCTAGCAGTCAATGGGCAAGATCTTGCATTTGAAAGGCTGCATACACTTACCCCTCTTCACAGTGATAAGTAATGGTAGATCCTGAGCTGAAATCTCTCCCTTCAAAATAGCCATGAGCTGGATTCTCAGGAGGGCCACAGTTTCCTGAGAAACAGGAGTACAGGGGTGACAGTCATGGGTTGTACTCAATTAATAGTACCCCCTAAGTGTAACTGTCGTCCATGTGGGATCTGGGGACACATTCTTCATTCATTTCCTTCTGGTCAAAATCACGTTTTTCCATTGGAAAGACTCCTTCCCCCTGCTTATCCTCTGAGTCATTAACAGTTTAAGAGTACTTTTTCATTGGCATGAGCTTGAGGAAAGGAAGTTTAAGTTGTAGAGATTGTCAGTGAACAAGAAAAAAAAAAATTCAGGGGATCCCTGGGTGGCTCAGGGGTTGAGCGGCTGCCTTAGGCCCAGGGTGTGATCCTGGAGTCCTGGGATCGAGTCCCCATCGAGGTCCCCGCAGGGAGCCTGCTTCTCCCTCTGCCTGTGTCTCTGCCTCTCTGTCTTTGTCTCTCATAAATAAATAAATAAAATCTTCAAAAAAAAAAAAAAAGAAAGAAAGAAAGAAAGAAAGAAGAAAGAAAAAAGAAAAAATTTCAAATCAGAGGTAGAGGTGGCAAAAGTTAACTCCCTAAGTTGGGAGATAAATGGCACAAGTTCAAATGGAAGCTGACATTCTCTGTAGGACACAATTGTGCAATATGAGAGCTTCAGAAACAAGAAGAATACAGCTGGGAGGAAAGAAGGGGAGTGTGTAAAGAGAGTTGAACAAAGTATTAGATGTTGCGAATTTCAGTTCTGGTTCTTCCACTAACCACCATTTCATCCTTCTTGGCTTCCTTCCTAACCTGTAAGATGAGTAGTTTATTTATTTTTAAAAAGATTTTTTTTATTTATTCATGAGAGACACAGAGACTCAGGCAGAGACAGAAGCAGGCTCCTCACCGGATCCCAGGACCCCACGATCATGACCTGGGCCGAAGGCAGATGCTCAACCGCTGAGCCACCTAGGTGCCCTGATGAGCAGTTTAAATAGTACTACCTCTAAAGTCCCTTTGAGCTCTGACATTATGAGTTTAAACATGGTGATCAAGATTAAAGGATAAATTAAGAATAATTAGGTATGTATATATCTATAGAAACCAATGCCTTCAAAACAAATAGTTGGGTAAAAACAGCAAAGCATAAAAGAGCATGCATTAGTATAGTACATAGTATAGGATACTATGTATAATAATGCATACAAATAAAAATGTAATTATAATAATAGCATAGAATACTATTTCTGTAAAAAATACACAATATGCATAAACATATATGAACAGAAAAAAAAAGCCTGAAAATTACATATCAAAGTATTCTATTATTTCTGGATAGTAGGCTTGTAGATAATTAAATGTTTCTTTTATTTTCTGTATTTTTTCCACAACACAGATGTTTTCTTTGAACAGTTAATAAATAATTTTTAAAGGATAAGAAACTGAGTTCAAAAGCTGTATAGAGGAAAGGAAAAGAATTTCAGTGAATTGATCATAGGCATCCCAGTTTATACAGGGCTCTACTGGTGACTTTGAAGAATATAGTTGTGAACTGAAAGAGATGATACAGATCTTGGGTCTAAGCAGAAAAGGATTTGCTTTACTCAGGGACCCAACAAGCTTCCCCTAAAATTGGGCAATGAACTAACATAAAAAGACAGAAATCCTGCATTTTAGAGCTAGGATAGAATGTATTAAATTAAAGAGAGTAAAACAGAAAAGGTCTTTGAGAAATAAATACTTCAAGCTTATGTCCAGCTAATGATAATGTTATATGCTTGTAGTTTAACTTCATGTAGCACGTATGCACGTTTTAAGTAACCACAAACTCCTTAAAATAAGTTAGCTCTAGTTTGTGCTTTTAAACTGCCTATCTACTATTTTAATAGCTACTGCCAAAATACATCCACAGAGTGGTATCTCTTTCTCTGACCTAAGTGGCTAGTCCCTCGTATCCTGAATGATGTTAGATCAAATCAAATTTTTAAATTATTTGTCAACCTGATCAGTAAAACATGTGTATCTAATTTTAATATTCATTTCTGCAATTATTAGTTACATTCACTGTCCTTCCATAAATTTGAGGAATATAAATGCTATTTGGGGCTTATCTTGGAATTATCTATCTCTAAAATCTGCCATTTTTCTATTAGGCTGCCTATTTGTCACAGATTTTAGGAGGGGGGGGTGTCTTTGTATATTAAAAACACTAACTTCTTAGCCATCAAATATGTTGCAAATATTTTTCTAAGCCTATTATCTTTTACTTTTTATGATGTCTTTGAATAGATAAAAGTTTTGATTTAAAAAATTCATTTAAATCTGTCCATTTTCTTCCTTTAGGACTTCAGGGGTTTTGTTACTTCTTAGGAAAACCTTCTCCAATCCAAGATAATAAATTTTCATATTTTCTTCAATAATTTTGCTTTTTCAGTTATACATTTAAACCCATTTGGAATTATTTTTTAATATGACATGAGTAGAGTTCTAATTTTGGTTTTTCTTTCTTTTTTTTTTTTAAGATTTTCTTTATTCATGAGAGACAGAGAGAGAGAGAGAGAGAGAGAGAGAGAGACAGGCAGAGGGAGAAGAAGGCTCCATGCAGGGTGCCAGATGTGGGACTTGATCCCAGTACTCCAGAATCACATCCTGGGCGGAAGGCAGGCGCTAAACCACTGAGCCACCCAGGGATCCCTAATTTTGTTTTTTCTAAATAAATAATCATCCCATTATCATTGAATACAGACTTTTCCCACTAATTTAAAATAAACTGTTCTAATTTCTGTGTCATTACTTAGTTGTTTTAATGATATATGAATTATAGCATCTATAATTTGCCATTTTAATGCTCTTTCACTTATAGTAATTTTGTTTTACATTTTATCATCTGATAAAGTGTTTCCTCCCCTTTTATCTAGCCAAATATATATATTACTCATTATTTTCCAAAAAATAAATTTGTAAAATGTTTCCTCTCACTATTCCTTCAAACAATCATATTGAAAGTCCTTGCTAGTGCAATAAGAAAAGGAAGGAAAATAGAAGGTATACATATTGAGGAGATATAAAACTGTCTTTTTCATAGATTACATGATTCTTTATGTAGAAAATCCCAAAGAATTGGCCAAAAAATCTCCTGAAACTTATAAGCTATGATGTCAAAGTTGCAGGATACAAGTTTAATATACAGAGCTCAATTATTTTCTTATTTATCAACATTGAGCAAGTGGAACTTAAAATTAAAAGTATAATACCATTTACATTAGCAACCACGAAAAATTAAATACTTATGTATAAATCTAAAAATACATACAAGGTCTATTAGAGAAGAACTATAAAATTCTGATGAATGAAATCAAAGAAAAACTAAATAGATGCAGAGGTATTCCATGTTCATGGTTAGGAAGACTCAATACTGTCACGATGTCAGCTCTTCCCAATGTGATCTATATTAAATCTTCAGTGCAATATTAATCAAAATTCCACCAAATTGTTTTAGGAATACTAACAAAAGGTTTATATGATAGTTTTATAAAGGAGGCAAAAGAACCAGAATAGCCAATACAATATTTAAAATGTAGGACAAAGTTGCGGAATTAAAGCTCCCTGACTTCAAGTCTTACATAAAGCTACAATAATCACGACAGTGTGGTATTAGTGAAAGAATAAACAAATAAATCAGTGAAATGGAATAGAAAACCCAGAAATAGACCCACATAAATAGAGTCAGGTGATCTTTAAAAGAGCAGAGGCAACACAATAAAGATAGTTTGTTTTTTTTTTAACAAATCGTGCTGGTACAACTGAACATCCACATGCAAAAAAGCGAATTGAGATATAAATTTTATATCCTTCACAAAAATTAACTCAAAATGGATCATAGGCCTGACTGTAAAATATAAAAATATGAAAATCTAGAAGATAATGTAGGAGAAAACTTATATGACCTTAAGTATAGTGGTGCCTTTTTAGATACAGCAGTAAAGACATCATCCATGAAATAATGGATCGGCTGCAATTCATTAAAACTTAACACTTCAGTGCTATGGATGACATATCAAGAGAATGAGAAGATAAGCCACAGGCTGGGAGAAAATAATTGCAAAAGACGAATCAGATAAAGGACTGTTATCCAAAGCATACAAAGAACTCTTAAAACTCAACAAGAAGATAACCTGATTAAAAAATAGGCCAACAACCTTTACAGACACCTCACCAAAGAAGAGACTTAGATGGAAAATTAGTGTACATCATCAGGAAATGCAAATTAAAGCAACAATGGGATACCACTACACATCTATCAGAATGGCCAAGATCTCGGACACTGATAACACCAAATGCTGACAAGGATGTAGAGCAACAAGACCTCTCATACATTGCTGGTGGGGACGTAAAATGATATAACCACTTTGTAAGACAGTTGGGTGATTTCTCACAAAGCTAAATACACTAAAATCCAACAATTGCACTCCTTGGTACTTATCCAAAGAAGTTGAAAACTTTTGTCCCCACAAAAACCTGCACCTGCTACATCTATAGCAGCTTTGTTCATAATTGCCAAACTTTGGAAGCAACCTAGATGTTCTTTAGAAGATGAGTGGATCAATAAGCTGTGGTACATCCAGAAATAGGATATTATTTAATAAAATAAAATGAGCTATTAAGCTATGAAAAGACATGGAGGAATCTTAAATGCATATTACTAAGTAGAAAAAGCCAATCTGAAAAGGCTACATACTGTATGATTCCAAATATAAGACATCTGTAAAAGGCAAAACTATGGAAACAATAAGAAGATCAGTGGTTGAAAGGGGTGGGGTGAGTAGAGAGATGAATAAACAGCACAGAGGATTTTTAGGGCAGCAAAAAAATCTGCATGATATTATAATGGTAAATATGTGTCATTACGCATTTGTCCAAACCCACTGAATGTACAACACCAAGAGTGAGTCCTTAGGTAACTATAGACTTAGGGTGATCATGATGTGTCAACATTGGCTCATCTTTGGTAAACAATTAAAAAAAAGTACTATTCTGGTGAATGATCAATAATGTGCATGTGTGGGGGTAGGGATTATATGGGAAATCTCTGTATCTTCCCTTCAGTTTTATTATAAACCTAAAGCTGCTCTAAAAAATTAAGTCTTTAAATAAATAAATCTGTAATGTTAGATAGGGACCTTTCCAAATGAGATTTTAAACTTAATTTTTTTTATTTTATATTTTTAAATTTGAAATTCTGGTCAGAATTACATTGTAATGTGTAATCCATCCATCCAGGATCATGGAATATATTTTCTTTTATTTAAGTCTTATTTTATGTCCTTCAGTAAATTTTCAAATAGGTCTCATGAATGAAATTATTTTACGTTTCAGTATTCATCTCATAACTATTATTAGCAAGTAATACTATTGATTTTTCAATATTCATTTTTGTTCAAGAATAAAGTTTTTTGGTAGAATTTCTGGATCTTTTAAATATATTTGGCAAGTAAGTTTACCCTGTGACCCATTGATCATTCTAGGAATCTAGACTACAGAAATAAGAGCTAGATATAAAGATATATGTATATGTATACAAATATATAACAATCATTTCAGCATTGTATTAGCAAAAATACAGAAATAGAATAAATGTTCATCAATTATGGCATATCCATATTATTATTTAAAAGTAGAATATAGGGGTACCTGGGATGGCTCAGTCGGTTAAGCATCTGCCTTTGGCTCAGGTCATGATCCCAGGGTCCTGGGATCCAGTGACGTATCAAGCTTCCTACCCAGCAGGAAGTCTGCTTCTCTTTCTCTATGCTCATGCTCTCTCTCTCAAATTAATATTTAAAAAGATAAATAAAAGCAGAAGATAAAGGAATGCTTGGGTGGCTCAGAGGTTGCACATCTGCCTTCGTTCAGGGCGTGATCCTGGAGTCTCCTGGGATCGAGTCCCACTCTAGGCTTCCTGCATGGAGCCTGCTTCTCCCTCTGCCTAGGTCTCTGCCTCTCTGTGTCTCTCATTAATAAATAAATACAATCTTAAGAAAAAACAAACAGGGGATAGAGCAACATATACTGATCTGAAAATGGTTCCCATGTATAATGTTACACCAAAAAAGCAATTAAAAAATACATAAAGTCCCATTTTTGTAGGTGTATATGTGTGTAGATATGTGTGAGTATGCTTTTATTAAAATGTCTGCACAAACATAAAAGTCATGAAACAAACACATCCAACTAAGTACCTCTGAAAGCTGTGAATTACCGTGTTAGAAGGAGGTACTTTCTTTTTATATTTTTTCTTAAAGATTATATTTATTTATTCATGAGAGACACAGAGAGAGAGGCAGAGACACAGGCAGAGGGAGAAACAGGCTCCCTGTGGGAAGCCTGATGTGGGACTCCATCCCCAGACCCTAAGTTCACGACCTGAGCCTAAGGCAGACGCTGAACCATTCAACCACTGAGCCACCCAGACATCCCAGAAGGAAGTACTTTCAACTCTTATATTATATAACTTTGCAATGGATGAGTTATGATCCTTTCCCCTGTTTTTGTGTATTCCTCAAATAAGTACTTTAAGTCAGTATTGTGAAATTAAAAAAAAAAAAAGTCAGATGCCTCAAACTAACCTTGTTTTGGACTTAGTGGGTGGGATGTGAATCCTACTTGAGAGGGGTAGAAAAATAATTTACTGTTTGGAAGCTATTCTTTTCACTGAAACACATTGTTTGAGGTGGCACTTGGCTCTGTGAGCTCCACTTGTTTCTTGGTTGCTTCCTAGTTCCCAAGCCTTCCCAGGTACAAAAAAAAAAAAAAGATATCTAATTGGTATCTAATTGGTACCTTTGGATTTGCACTTGTTTCTCTCATACTTACTGCTTTTACAGGTAGGCAAGGGAGGCATCCAGGTGTGGTTGTCCAGGCACTGACTCCAACTGCTGCCCTTGAGGATGTAGTGCTCATTGCACTCAAAAGTGATTTTGTCACCCACATTCACAGGACCCAGGAAACTGGAGGTACCATTCACCAGCACAGGGACAGGACAGTGGCCCACTAAAGGAGAAAACAGGAAGGGATCTGAAAGGACACCACTGCAAAGGCTAGACCTCCTCAGACCTCACTGAGAAAGAAATCAGAACTAAAATTGCACTTAAAAAATATTTTATTTATTTATTCATGAGAGACACACAGAGAGAGGCAGAGACACAGGCAGAGGGAGAAGCAGGCTCTATGCAGGGAGCCAATGTGGGACTCGATCCTAGAACCCCCAGATCACGCTCTAAGCTGAAGGTAGATGCTCAACCACTGAGCTGCCCAGGTGCCCCAAAACTGCATTTTTTCATAGGGACTACAAACTGCACTTGTACATGGCACTAAACCATGTCAATGCCAGATGAAAGACTAGGTTGGCATAAGAGAGACTGGAAAGGTCTCAGTCATGCACAAGGGTGACAGTTGGCAGTTGGTACTTGAACTTGCTAAAAGAAATTAAGCATATAACTGGAAATGATCAATAGTGTGTTCATCCTCCTGTCAAGCACTGCTGAAAATTCTGCACCCTATGTCTGAGGCAAGTGTTCCCTTCCCCTTCATCCAATCAAATGTTTGTCATCCAGTCACTTTGTTTCGTTTTGCTTTTCCCAGGTGAAACAACAGGAGAGAATGCAGAGAGAGATGAATTTGGTTATACAAGTAAAGGACAGACATATTGATGTGCTTTAAGTGTAAGGGAGAACGAACCCAGCTAGTCCTAAAAATAGTAATAATAACGAGGATATCGACCAGTGGTTCTGTCTCTACAGACTTCACAAGTGAGTTTTCTATACTTGAGCAAATCACTTGGATCGCAGTTATCACATTTGTATATTGAGAACATGAATTTTTCTCGGTTCAAAAGTTATATAATGGATGAAATAGACTATGACATATTTACCTCAAAATAATAATAATAATAATAATAATAATAATAATAATAATAATAGTGGGGACGACTGGGTGGCTCTGCCTTTGGCTCAGGGCGTGATCCCAAGGTCCTGGGATCGAGTCCCACACTGGGCTCCCTGCATGGAGCCTGCTTCTCCTTCTGCCTGTGTCTCTTCCTCTCTCTCTGTCTCATGAATAAATAAATAAAATCTTAAAAAATAATAATGCAAAATAGGATTGTAGAAAAGATTGGTTATAGGTAGATAATTGTTGAAGGTAAGTGATAAGTCCATATGAATTGATTTTACTCTTCCGTCTTTTGTATGCTTAAAATTTCTTATAAACATTTTAAAGGCGTATGATACTAAGCAAATGATAGCCCCCCAAAAGTTGTTTTAATACATGGAAGAAATTCTTTTCTTCCTGCAGGGTTGATAGTGTCTATTCATTCCATCATTTAATTAGTTAATTGCATCAGTACTGAGCAAGAGCTGATCATGTAGCTTCTCAGAGAAGACATTCCACCCTAGAGTGCTTTAAAAATGAATTCCTAGAAATTGATAATTTTTGTCTTATAAAGTTTGAACATGGCCTCCGGAAGTGGGGTGTGAAAGCATCGAGTGGGATGAAAAGCTGTACGAAGAAACAGAAAGTTCAAACTTACATTGACATGTGGGAACGGGGGCGTTCCACTCCAGAGAGGCATTGCAAAAAAAGGTTTTCTTTCCGACCAGGTGGTAGCCCTTGATACAGACATAAATACCCTGAATTTGTCCTTCTGACTCCTCTGCAACGAATATGCTATTTCCCACTGGAGGAAGTTCTGAACAGCTCTCTGTTGGAAGGAAAAAGATAAGGGATTCACCAGACATACCCCATGCCGGGAGGATGCCCCCCAGATTGCCATCCAAGGGTCTTCGTGCAGGAATACGGCTTCTGATTCCTTGTCCTCTTCCACGTCCAGGTCTACCCACATGCCTCCCTTCCCGATAATTCCCAAAGTTGTGTTTTCGAAAGGCTAATAGGATTCACTCAAATTCAGCCATAGGTCATATACCCCCTAAAGAAACAGTCCCCTTTCTAAGGAGCAGTCTTGGGGGGTTACAACAGATCTCTCAAGATTCTGAAATTGGTACTCTTTGCCCCCAGAACAGAAAGGGAAAGTAAACAGTTAACCACCCACTTCATAGAGCAGAATCATCATTAAATTTTACTAAGCTCCTACTGAGTACCGAGCATTAGGCCAAGTAATGAGATTCTTCAACAAAGGAAATGCATTTCAGAAATTTAAGTTTCATTAAAACCCTAAGACAGAATGCCTCATACACCCCCAAACTGGTAGCAAGTGCCTTGTAAACCAATCTTAATCAGGCGTACGCACCATCTGAGGCAGGAATCAGCCACACAGCCACGAGATAGCACACGGACCGAAAAAACATTTCGTGATCGGTTGCTTGAGCCAGGCTGGGATTAACCCAAACCAGCCAACACCTTGTTCGGATCAAAGCAGATCTTCTAACACTGCCTGCGATACCTCCTTTCCAGGGAAGAGGTTAAGAGGTTGTCCTGATTTCTCTTCCCTGGAAAGAATTAAAAAAAAAAAAAAATCCTACAACAGAAAATAAGAACAGCTATGAGGAAGTTAGTACAGGGAGGGATTCTGGTGGCTTGACGAGCTGCCAGTTTTAAAACTCAGTTTTAGAACTTGCCAGGGTCCATTGTGCAAATCCAGCTGACCAGTTCCTTTGGATCTGCAGGTTTATCCCTCCGCAGCCGACTTGGCCAGAGGGTGTTACCCTGACCCTCGCTTCTGTCAATATTTGCTATCGTTTCCAGTCCTGCTTCTGCAACTCCCTTCAGCTCTGCAGGTGGAGGAGGGCAGGCCGATGTCCAGTGCTCTCAGGAGAGCAACACAGCTCTGAGTGCCACGTCCCCCCGGGCTCTCAAATGCCAGGTTGTCTACAAGCAGCACCGATCACTGCAGCCTGGAAGGCTCAAGGAAGTTAACTAACCCTTACCTGGTCTTGGATCTTCCAGATCCGAGGCTTCCCAGCAAGGAGCCCACCCTGATAATGTCCCAACCTGAGAAAAACTCCAAAGCCCTACAGCAACACCTGGTCCTCATTTGCCAGGCCTGCACCAGGGTTCCCATTCTGCGGGGCTTTGGGCCTCAGGCTTGAGCCTGAGTCCAGGGTCAACCAAATGAACTAAGAGGGAGATGAGGGGAAAAAAACCTTGGTTTCAGGAATGAAAACATGTGAAATTGTTTGGGGGCTCCCGCCTTCTTATTCATGACTGTTACAGCGATCAGCTGGTTGTCCTTGCTCCGGTTATGAAACTGGGGTAAAAGTCCCTCCACGATTTTAGGTTGTAATGAACTAATATAAAGCATCATAATGAGTACTGTGTCCATCATTAAGGACACAGTAAGGTCTTAACTGTTTTTCTCCTCTCTGCCCATTACCATTACTTATGATGATTTGCTCATGTCTTTTTCCCATGTGAGGCTGTTAACTCTAGGACAAGGACTGTGTCCCACATGCCTTTCCTTCCTCAGCACTCCATAATGCAAAGCAGAATTGTCTGCTAGGTAAATAAGAGCAACAGGGGACCAATAAAAAGAGCACAGTTGTCATACAGAAACTCTCCCAGAGCCGCTCAAATCCATACTGATAATCTATCATTTGCTGTGCACTGACCTTTATGGGGTTTCCATAGCTTATCCTCACTCAACAACTGTATGAGTTCCTATGTGCAGACACCTTTTTAAGTATAGTTCTTGAAAGAGTAAACAACACGACGGGCCTATAAATATAAAATGAATTCGTGTCAAAGATTTTATTCAACTCCTTCATGAGAAAACCTTGAAGATGCTACAACTAATTCAGAGAATGCGAGGAACAGAGATTTACGTATTCAAGGCAAAGGCCTTCTGAGGTGACTTTCCTAATCGATGGCAAACTGGTTAATAGCATACACGGTAACAAACTGTAATATTTGGAATGAGCTTTTCTCATTGGAGATGGAAATTAATTGAATTTCTACTGGACAAAATTCACTGGCCTCATTATTAGGAATCCTTTGCGTTGCTTTCAGAAAGAATCATTTGTATTCCCATCTATTTCCTACAAATTAACCTCTAGTCTTCTGGAGTTGTAAAAACGACTAATTAGGGCACCTGGGTGACTCAGTGGTTGAGCATCTGCCTTTGGCTCGGGATGTGATCCCAGGGTCTTGAGATGGAGTCCCGCATCAGGCTTCCTACAGGGAGCCTGCTTCTCCCTCTGCCTGTGTCCCTGCCTCTCTCTGTATGTCTCATGAATAAATAAAATCTTTAAAAAAAAAAGACTAATTAATAGAAAGTTAATAAAAATTACCCCCCCCCCATGAAATCAATAATCCCAGGGAGGGTCTTCAAAACAATACTCAGTAACCCACTGAAAAATTTCTCCAGTGATTTCTTTTTGTCTCTTTTGTCAGGTTTTGAGTAATTTTGCTTAACACATCACATATTCTACTTCTTGAGGCATATAAGTTCCCCTGCATGCAAATGTGTATGTCTGTAAAATAAATGATTTAAAAAATAGTGAAAGAAAATTTTGTTTACTCTTAAAATTAGGAATTCTTTCATTGCTGAGAAATTCCTCAATTCTTACAGGAAGTAACTGCCAATAATTCTTCACCTCAATTCATTTCAGATTCCAATTAGGGCCTTAGAAAGGTACTATATTATTCATAATATTATCTTAGTAATATTTTTCTATGAAATGTAAAAATCTTTAAGTGAGATATACAGAGACTATAAAAATCCTCACAACGGTTAGGTCAGATTTTCCTGTTAAATAAAATGGGAGAAAACTTTGCTTTCAAAGCTTTGTGCATTTGGGGATTGCCTATAAGGGATTTTAGGATTATATGTTTTATTATGAGTGTCCAAGCTTAGAAAAATTACTAAATGAGGATTCATAAACCCCTCTAGCCCTTTGGACATTAACAGCAATTTGATCTCATCCAGGTTGTTTTCTGGAGAACTGAGGTAACACACCAAACATAGAAGCTGTACTGACCGGTTGGCTTGCTCACCCAAGGAATGAGGAGACCGTGATTGGTGGAAGAGACGGGGGAGTGAGCAGGGAAGTCAGCGGTGCCTAGGCTGGCAGTAGAGTGGGGGGGCGGGGGGAGTTAGACTGCAGTGTGTGTGTGTGTGAGATTTCAAGAGAATTGGGAAAAGAGGACTTTAAGAAGTCTCTAGGATGTTACAATTGGATTCCCTTTGGTCTTGGGCAAGATAATTCAGAAAAGATTGAAAATGCTTCTCCAACTATTTTTTTAATGTATTGAGCTGGTGTTTCTTGAATGCCTCACCAGGAACAAGCTGGGCCAGGAAAGTAGCCTTTCCGCAGACTACATGAGACTAAAACGCATATAAAGGTCTAAAAGCTCTAAGTGTTCGTGAAACACTGTGTGGTGTGAGCTGTGATGGTGAGTCAAGACCGACGTGCACCAGGGCCTGAAGTTAGTGTGGCCTTGAGGCCCCTTTCCGGTGCTTGGATAGCTACGCTGTGCGAGGGGGTAGGCTCCCAGTGCATTTTGAGGATGATGGGTCAACGTGATGGGATAGAAGGACTGTAGGACGGAAGGTCCTGGTGACTGAGGAAGCAGCGTTCCAGCCCGGGGCCGCTCCTCTCCACACCTCAGTGAGGCCAGAGTAACCTGTAACATAAAAGCTGCTGCTCGGGATCCCTGGGTGGCGCAGCGGTTTGGCGCCTGCCTTTGGCCCAGGGCGCGATCCTGGAGACCCGGGATCGAGTCCCACGTCGGGCTCCCGGTGCATGGAGCCTGCTTCTCCCTCTGCCTGTGTCTCTGCCTCTCTCTCTCTCTCACTGTGTGCCTATCATACATAAATAAAAAATTAATAAAAAAAAAAAAAGCTGCTGCTCTTCTGGGTTTGCCAGCACCTTCACTTGCTGATTGGAATCACTGACCAATGCAAGCAAAAGGAAGGTCTACCACGGTTTGAGCAAAAGGACCCAGGAGTTGAAACTCGGGAAATAATGTGTAACAGGCTTTCTTACATTGTGCCCACAAACTGTTTCCCTCTCCACCCACAAATTCTGAAAAGGGAACGGGCAGAAGAGGAGACACTCTGGCAAATGAAAACTGAATGTGAACGATGAGGAAAGAGGATCACTAACGAAGAAAATCCAAAGGGATAAAGAAGCTATTCCCTGAAAGTGGGTCGGAGGCTTGGGGAAGGCACTGCCCGGGTTGAGGCGAGGCCCTATAAGCTCTTTCCAAGGGTTCCCGTGCTGGTGGAATTACTCAACTGCCAAGAGCAGCTTGTCTCTCGGAGCCGATCGAGTTTTCCCAGGGAAGGTACTGTACAGCACACCACCAGGAGGGAATCTCGGTGCCCTTGGGCATTCGGAAGGGAGCCTGCAAGTGAGGTGTTCCACCTGTGGTGACTGGAACAGTGTGGCACTGGCTTGACAAGAACATACGTGCTCGGTGCCTCGAGGTTGTGGAGAAAATATCCCCCCCCCCCCAAACTTCCCCTCCTGGTTAGTGATTCTATCCTGTTATAATCCATTCAAATTCCTCAATAGCCTACAATGTCCAATTTTAAACAAGTAAGCATTTCAGAATCCCACATATTCTTCCCCTCTGCTTAAAAAAGTTTTTTTTTTTTTTTTTTTTTTTTTTTAATTTAGTTTGGGTGGCGCAGCGGTTTGGCGCCTGCCTTTGGCCCAGGGCGCGATCCTGGAGACCTGGGATCGAATCCCATGTCGGGCTCCCGGTGCATGGAGCCTGCTTCTCCCTCCCTCTGCCTGTGTCTCTGCCTCTCTCTCTCTCTCACTGTGTGCCTATCATAAATTAAAAAAAAAAAAAAAAAAAAAAAGTTTTTTTTTTTAATGTCAAAGAAAGGGACATGGTGTATGTGTGTGTGTATGTGTGTACATTATCATCTAGTTCCTGCTTTGCTACCCTGAAGTCATGACTCCCGCTCCACTGTACGCAGAACTTATATGCATCTATCTTTTTGGAGAGGCCTTAGCTTTTGTCAAATTCTCAGATGAGCTCAAGACAATGAATGTAGGTTGGATGGTGTGGATACTTCAAGGCTGAAAAGCATGGTGATGGGCGACTGCTGGACTGCCATGGAACGTGCCTGTGGGGTTGTCACTGACCAGGCCAAGCTAGTGAGGCTGGCCTCCTCACAAAGTCCTCAGTAAGATCCTGGAGAGGCTGATGACTTGAGGAAATAATTAAGGCTACAGAAATAAGGCAAATAATGACCGTCACCCAACACTGGAGACTTTCTGAGTCATATCCTAATTCTGGTGTCTTGATTAAAATTCTAGCTACATTTAAAAATAGTAGTTATAGCTTTGTTGGACCCTCACTGTTATACATCTTACCATTTACCCTGTTCTGAGTATGGGATTTGACCAAAAAAAAAAAAAAAAAAAAATCCATCAGCGTTGAGGTAAGTCACTTAACAGAGGCGTTCATTCACCTACGTGAAATAAGAATGATCCCAGACATGCTTATCCTTCTACGAATGATGGCTTGACCGCTGGGTCAGATAACACTCGCAATAGTACTTGGAGAGCTTTCCAAGGTCAGAGGACAGGGACTGGGTTTTACTCAGTGCATGGCAACCAATAGGTGGTCATTAAATATTTGTTAAATAAATTTTTAAAAGCTCCAGAATGTCAGTAATTACATGGCAATAATGATCTCACTCTTATCATTTTGAAATGCTAATGTAACTTGATAAAGGCAGGAATCACCAGTTCAAACACTAGCTTGAAATATATATATATGATCTAAAAATTCGAGAATCACTTTAAAGAAACTAGTTTCAAAGACATTTTGCACAATGTTATTAACATTTTGTGTGTTTAATGCACCAAATGCTATCCTACTTTGTGATTTCAAAAAGTAATTACATCTTTAAATTAAAAATAACTTTTATTTCTTATTACAAAGCAATACATATTACTGACATATTTTAGCATGATTTTTATTTATCCAGGAGATAAACTTCTCACCAGAGAAATGCATCTCTTGGCTGATACTTATAATAAAAATCAATGAGAAAGAAAAATATTCAAAAGAAATCCACTATGCCCTACCATAGTTGTCATCCTTTTCAGAAGGCAGGTACCTAGACCCTGGAAATTTAATTTAAGGTAATACTATGGACATCAGACTTAAAATCTCAACCTCCCTAAATTTCTACTGAAAAACAGACAACACCAATTATCTAACATTCCGATCAACATACATGCAGACACTACTACGGGACTTAAAAGTATCTCACATGGATGAATAAATAGCTAAATAAAAACATTATCTGATTATCAACAGACATTGCGTTCAGATGCAGAATGAAACCTGCATCACAAGAACAAAATCATCACAGTACCGCACGCTACGAGCGGCCAAATGAAAAGCCCCCGCTACAGAGCGGAGTCAGGAGCCTTTCTGAAGGCAGCTTTGTGCGTATAAAATAAGCTCCTGGTTGCTGGATGCTGAACTGCCTGCAGCCCAGCTCATCACATCTTAGGTAACAGAGCCCTGTATCATCCACAGTATAAAAGAACCATGAAAAGCTGCATTTCATTACTTTTCTCTTTACTTACCCTCTTGCCCAGCAAGTGGGTATCTGCATGAAAGGAAAAAATTATTTAGAAAGCTAAAAACTTACTATTCTTAAAAAAAAAAAAAAGAATTTTGCTTATATTTATCCTTTGGAGCTTCCATACCCTCCCTTGGAGTAGTGACATATTTAAATCACATTGACAGAGAATCACATTGCTCTAGAGAACTACCTGGCTTAACTTCACAGGAAACCAAATGATGGATGCACCAAGGACTTGGCTCTCCCCTGCTCCTCCAGCATAAGACACCTACATAAGAGGTCTGCGTAAGAGACCAGCAGACCCAATAGTGACAATTAGCTAGGAGGCAGGCATCAGAACCAGCTGCTTTCTTAGAGACATCATAGTGACAGACCCCACAGGAAGTCATGTATGTCCCCCTGCACCGGTTGAGAAGCAAGAACTCCCAAGGAACCCTCTTTCATTCTTCAGGTAATGTCAACGGCACCCTACTTTTCTCTCCAGCCCTCATTCCCAACTGGTGGAGGATGACCTAGCCCTCTGCAGCTATGAGGGGACACAGCATCCAGCAAAAATACTGGATGTAGTTACTTGTGAAACAGGAACTTTGACGATGGGTACTCGTTCTGGGGAGCCTCGCAGTCATGATCCTACCCTTACGGGGCCTGGAACAAGGAAAAACTTCTCTAATGACAAGAAGGCTGACCGACACTGCTCTTCCATCACTGCAGAAGAGACAATTCAGGGACTGAATTTCTCAGATACCCGCTATTCACCTGGTGAGTTTGTCTCGTTTCCAATGTGACAAAAAAGGGACTGCTAGCATGCATCCGTTGTGCGCACGCCCGCGAGCCTGGAAGGGATGCAGAGACCAGCTCTCACAGCACAGAACAGGCTTGCGGCAGTGCAGTCCTCCCCTTGGAAACACATCTCAAGAGGTGCATTCACATTTCAGAAAAGAATAGGCAGCCAGGGATACAATCACAGGTGGGAAGTGACATACAGAAACAGAACAAGACTGGCCAACTGGGCTCACACCCCAGCAGAGATAATACAAACTCATCGGCTCAGGCTGTTGGATGTTTTGAGGCACAGGGAAGTCAAGTCTTCCTGTGTAACAGACATTCCCATTAGGCCCGAGGGGAAGAAAATGTAATGTTTTTCCAGGCCTCATTTTGGTGACCCGGAATGTCCAATCCCAGCTTAACTTCCTGACGGAGCCCCCGTGGAGCTGGCATCCCCAGGCTCTGCAGTAGTAGATCTCCAGAGAGGTCTGGCCTCGGCCTTCACGTTGTCAGCAAAGCGGGGTGAGGGACGCTGAAGGGGAGTGAGTGCCTAAGCACAGCCAACCCAGTTTCCGCCTGGGAGCTAGAGGGGAAGAGAGACAGAGCCGTTACACCACACCGACAAAGGACAAAACACAAGAATCCCTCCCTCCCCTCCCCTCCCTCCTTTGCACTGCCCCCCCCCACTGCCCATGACCCCACGTCCACACACATGCATGGACCCTCTGTTGTGCTCCCCTTGACCCTTTACCAATCTGCAACAGCAGAGTCAGGGGCTTCTTTCCCTGAGAAACCAACCTTCGTGACCTTGTTGGACCAGGCACTCCTTCCAGACCTAGACCATAAGCTATATACCCAAGATAGGAGGCAGAAGCTGTGGGAAGCCCTGTGGTAAAAAGGAGAGCATGTAGGCTGCTATCAACCAAAAGACCATGGTGACAAATGGCACTGCAGTCAGAGGCTCCTCGGCTTCTGAGGAGGCTGTCTACGGTCCCTTCCGAAATCCATCTGAGCAGAAATCAGCTTCTTCCCAAAAGCTGGGGCGGAACGTTTTGTGAGGAACTCTTCCCCCCCTAGAGCGGTGAATCCCAAGTGTTAAATTTGCATGTGAATCACTTGGTAATAAGCCTGTGAAGATGAAGATTCCGATGACTGGGCCTGGGCCGAGAGTCTGCAGAGCTAATGAGTTCCTGCTCCTCGGGAGGCTAACAGGGAATGAGGCGCGAGGCGGTGACACACTTCCACCTGTATCTCCTGTCCCAGAAGTTTAATGCCATTTCATTCTGTTGACTGCAAGGTCTTTAGAAACAGGCAGGTCAGGTTCTAGAAGGGGCGGCCCGCTAAATTCTAAGAGATCTCCACGTTTTTTTCTTTACAATAATGAGTTACATGTTGCTAACGGGAGTCATAGTACAGTGTAGGCAAAGGCAATTTTTTCTTGATTCTTGAAGAGGGGCCAAAAATGTACACACAGCTTCTACCGGAGTTCACGTGCCTTCCATAATGTCCTACCCATCCTTCCCAGAAGGTGGTGGAAGAGAGCCATGCCCACACCAAGGAATCCAGTCATGCTGCCAACTGGCTTTCAGGAGTCTGAGCTCAATCATGGAGCAGCAGCACACAGTTTTGGAGGTGGGGGAGTGGATGGAGAACACAAGTCAAAATACAAAACAAAAAACCCAGAAGCCTTCTGATAGGTTCAAGTTACTCAATGATTTTATTTACCCGTTCTATTCACACACACACACACACACACACCACACACACACACACAAAAGCACATTTCAGATATAGTTATACACACCTTCTGTGGATGTGAGTGCATATTTTGATATCGTGTCACCACATTAAATCAGATGCTGGTAAGGACTCACATTACTGTTTCACCAGAGCTGCGCCTAGGAAATCCGCAGGATAACTCTAGTACGTGAGTTCCCAATTCAGTCCGTTCCCTTCAACCATTTCCTAATCCCTCCAAGGGGCACAGCTGGTGATCAGTCCTTTGCTTTTGCCACAGTAAAACCATCACCATATCAGACGAGTTGATTTTGTTATTTCAACACAATGAAAAAGAAATGTACACAAGCAATTCAGATACAAAAACATTGAGTTGATAGATATTGGTCCTAGGTCCCCAGTGAAAGGCTGATTGGAAAGAATACTTTTGCCACCTCTTAAAATCCATTTTTAAATGTAAGATTTCCTTTGCATTTTTATTTATTAGAGTAAGAGCTAGATGCATGGGAGACAGAAAACAACAGCATTATCCACTGCTATATCCCGGGACAGGGAAGCTGAGGACACAGCAGGGTCAGCAGCCGCTGGTGAAAGGCAAGTCGTGCCTACAAGTGGGTGAGTGAGTGGAATGAATGCAGGCAGAGGTAACAATTTCAGGCTTTGAGCAGGCATCTCCTTCGCTGAGTTCACAAAACATTATACACAAGTGATGTTCAATCTTCGTTTGCTACAAAATGATGAGAATTTGGCTGCTACTCTAAATGAAATGTCTATTAAAAATCATAGCGTATAGAACTTCCCCCTGAAAAAACATGTGAAGTGTTTACGTCCTTTTGTTGAAGGACACATGCGACAGACACAGAATTCTAGCAATACGCATCTGCTACTAACGGGTACAATTAGCAAACAGACTGTTGGACGACAAGAAACCTACTGGAGTCCGTCAGCCAGTCAGCCAGCATATTGTTATCGCCAGATACAGTCTTCTAGACACCAGGCGTCTAAATTAAATTCCTGGGAAGTCAGAGATCCATCCTGCCAATGCTGCAACCTGGCTCAACTGTTAGATCTTTTTAAAATTAAAAATTTTAAAACACGACCAAGTCAAAATGTATGCTAGGAAACCTGGGTAAACTGGTCAAATTTCCGGAAAACAAACACAACACGGCTTCTGAACTCAGCACAGACAATGGAATGTCCGTAAGACTGTATAACCCAGACACAGTTCCCTCAATCATTAGACTTTCTTCCCCCTGTCCTTTGGCTACCCCAAGCACCAATAGGTTTCTCCAGAACCGAGACCTCCTACTCAGAGAAAAACCGTAAGATGGATTTATTTCCACAGTTATGTCAACTTTCTTGAGAATGCTGGTGCCTCTGTAGATCCGTTTGTGGGTTACAAAGAGGAGCACCCAGAACCTCACAGGAAACACTCATCCATTCAGCCTGGGAATACAGACACATTGTATTCCTAACTCTAACTTCTTGGGGGAGAACAACCAACCAACCAACCCTGAGACAATAAGATAGGACAGACCCAACAGCACAATGCAATGTTCTTAAAAGATTTCCTTACTCTATATTGGGGCTAAATGTAAAACACTCTCCGTATCAAACCCAAACCAAACCAAAGGCAATACAGATTAATAAGAACTAAATTCTAATTTGAGGGTTAAGAGACAAGAGAAGCTAGTTCCCCAATCCTCTTCAGATTCCTCTTTCAAGTCTGTCACGAAATTCATCATTCAGCTTCCAAACAAGAAAATAAAATATACAGGGATTTTCCTTTCCCCATTAACTAGATTAAATAATTTAAACAGGCTAAAGCCTTCCCTGATTTCTCCCACAATGAAACCGAAAGCCTCAGCAAAAGGTGCTCTGGGACCCCTCCTTTCTTTGTACGATCTGTGATCTAGACGTGATTATGGTAACGTGTAGGTACAACTAACACATGTTCCAGTAAGAAAGGAAGAAGAGGAGAGAAAGGGCAGGAAGCAGAGTGTCTCTGAAGTGTGGAGCAAGAGCTCTGTTCCACTCTATTCTCCTGGCTTCTTGCTGCTCAAACTTCTCTGGAGGGATCTTGCTCTAAAACCTGAAGGGTGCTGAGAGCCTCACTACCGTCAAGTTCTAATTTCTCGTGTCTTAATTTCTTGTGTCACCTCGGGCTCTCCCTTTGGGGGAAGCAAACTAGCACGGGGGACGGTGGAGATACGAGGAGCAGGCTGAGGGCCACAGAGGACATCCTGGCAACCTGTGTCTCACGCTGGGGTTCACAAAAAGGGTAACACAAGGCTCGTGCGCCGGAGAATCCTCCTCTAAGAGTATGCACAGCTCAGATCCAAAGTCTTTGGATCAAAATGCTCCTGCTTGTCATTCATTAGCTCTGAATTGTTCTTAGTGCACAGCAGGAAAAAAAAAAAAAAAACTTGAATGAATAACCATTTGGCCTAAGGGTGCTGCCGGCCACTCAGGTTCCACAAGGGCTTGTAGAAGTGCCCCACCTTCTGCCTAGATCACATCTCATCCCCACCTGCGGGAGGAGGATTCTCACCTCCTACCCCCTTTAGTCTCACAGGACAAGAGAAAAGCCAGAAGTAATCTAAACTCCACTTTGATGTCCACACTTACAGACTCAAGGTGTTGCTCTTTCACAAATGTTCATTTGTTATAATTATATAACCTGTCTTCAAAATAACCTTCTTCAGGGCAAGAACCTTCTCTTCTACTTCCCTGTCCTCTACCATCATCACTGCCTCCCACCCAGCCCGAAGCCCTCACGAAGACCCTACGTACACGGGATGTAACGGCAAAGCTGTACGGCAGCTTAGATGCAACGAGGGGCAGAAGCCAGGCATGCAACCTTTTTGGAAACACTGTGATGTCCTACTCGGGATGTAAGAATAAAGGACTCCAGGTCACAAGCCGGCTGCTTGTGATGATAACCTTTACCATCCTACAGGTTTATCTCCGTGCCTTTAACCAGAGCGCTGAAAATTCCCAGCTATGACCCAAGGGCATTTATTCACACAGTGGTTGTGTGAATCACATCACCCTGCAGCGCAAAGGGTTAAAGATGGGACTGGAACCTAGAGCAACCCTCTCAAACACAGCAGCCTGCCCTCAAGGGGGTCACTTCATGTAACACTGTGATCTGCTCTCACGTCTAACTCCAGGGAATTGCCCTTTGAGAGCCAAGGAGAATTCAGAATTCTAGGTTGATGCTCTGACCAAGGAACTATTCCAGTATTTCTCCCCGCAGCTAAAGTGGAACTCGAGTATGAATCGGAATCTTCAGCGAAGTTACTTCAACGCATACATAGCCAGACCCCCAACCCGAGAGATTCTGAATTTGTGTGAAGTCTAAAGTGGACCAGAGCACGTACATGTCTCAAAAATTCTAAAGAGCGGGGGGGGGGGGGGGGGGATCCCTGGGCCCTGGGTGGCTCAGCAGTTTAGCACCTGTCTTTGGCCCAGGGCGCGATCCTGGAGTCCCAGGATCGAGTCCCGCATCAGGTTCCCTGCATGGAGCCTGCTTCTCCCTCTGCCTGTGTCTCTGCCTCTCTCTTTGTCTATCATAAATAAATAAATCTTTAAAAAAAAATTCTAAAGAGGATTCGAATGAATGCTCCTAGATGAGAATCTTGACAAAAGGTCTTCTATTAGCAAACAAAAACACCCTTGGCCTAAAGCTCACTTGCTTTTGCCGGTTTCCTCTGAATGACAAATTGATAACTTTAAGGTGTGGGATTCATCCCATCACTTGTAAAAATCTCATGAGAAATCAGGACTTCCCTCTCAGAAGACTGCACATATATTCATGTTTTATATGCACAATTGGAGGGCCACCAAGGAGCTAAGAATCCCCTGCTCTAAACATTTCCTGTTTAACCCTGCGGAGAAAATAAAATGACAGAAGCAAATAGGCAATTCCAGACAACTCAGAGCTAGACCCCTCAGGGTCCCAAAGACTCCGGGACATTAAGATGGAAGAAAGAAAAAAAAAAGAGAGAGAGAAAAAAAAGATGGAAGAAAGAATACACCCGTGAGAAGATTAAGTTCATCATCAGGCCTCTCCCAGATTTAGGAGAAAACAACAACAACAACAACATTGCTCATGCAAAATTTTTTTAATCTAAAGTGGAGTGTTGAAAATTACAGGAAAATAAGCTCTAGTGACCTCTTCCCTGCTGTCTGCCTTGAGCAATGCCAGCATCACTGGTGACTCTTTAACTTAACTCTGTCCTACACAGCCCCAGAGGTCACTGGCCTCGGCAGGAAAGTTGCTGTGGATGGCAAAGCTGGGAGCCACTGGAAAAAAAGGCATGGCTGCCCTACAAGAGACCTGCAAGAGCTAGAGAATGTCCTCTTCACCTAAACCTCACTCTACAGCTGCCAAAACAACCTATGCCTGGCTTTTGAAGTGAAAAATACCAACCAAGACATTTTGCACACACTCAGAGCCAACTCCCCCCAGGGCCTCGTAGATTCAGGACTAGTTCTCACGAAAGGAGGCACGTACTCTCACCCTATGTCCACTTGCAGGCTCCAGAGCACCCGTGGATGTTCTACAGCCTAGACTGACCCTTTCAGGACCTGGCTTGAGAGGAAAGGAGAGGGGAAAAAAAAAAGCTCCCCCAGTCTGGATCCATTGAGGCCCCCTGCCGAGAGCATCAACAGAGCCTAGACTTCTCTCTTGCCACCCCTCCCTTGCTCCACAGACACCACGAGGACAATGCCATGCACCACACCGGACAATCCAAAGGGGAGGTGAGCGAGGGGGGGAGGGCGGACAAAGCAGGCAAGTAAGGGCTGTGAGTAGAGCACACCTCGAAGAGACAAAGGTGAAGGAAAAATGGGCTTCTGCGTCCCCCTCCGCCCCACCCCCCACTTTACCAACACAAGGACGTTAGGGGTTTAGACACCAGGGACAAGAACCAAGTCTACGGGGCAGGCTTAACCTCAGACCCAGCTATGCTAAGCACCCAGGGGAGCGTATCCCTTTTCCTCCTTCTCCAGACCACCCCAAATGGGGACGTGTCCTGAAATACCCACTGGTCAAATGGCCCCTGGGCGGGGACATGTTTCACACTGGAGAACAGCTAAGATTGGTCTGGAAACACGTGAGCTCACGTTCTGTGTTAAGATCCGTGGTGGAGCACTGGGGGTAGGGGCTGGAAGTTAAATGACTCCTTGGTGCTTAGTGACAAGGGCAGGAGGCCAAGCCTGGAGGGGACACACGGTTACACCACCGGAATGCTGACTTGGGTCTTCGGCTGGTCGGCCCCTTCTTGCGTGTCCAGGGCACGGAGAGGGCTGAGGGGCTTGAGGGGCCGGCTCCCAACACTGTAATTTCTTGGACGCCTTATTGTATTCGAACTGGACAGAGGCGTAAAGCTGTTCCTTCTCATCCTTACAGGGGTTTGGTTCTTGGGGAAGTTGTTCTGATTGGAAATGGAGGGACACCACACAAATGAAAGCCAAGCCAAAAGCTCACTCATAAAGGTTAAATAATGCTTGTAACCACAACAGTTTTCTCCACTCCTGCTCCTCTGCAGAGAGAGTCTCTCATAAGACATGGGCCATGGCCTTATCGCTAAGTCCCAGGACACTAAAGGGTTGTAGAAGGAGAAGCTCCTTGAGTATCACACTCCAGAGGAGGAAGGAGGGCCCATGAAAGGAAGGGGCTTATTTAAGATCACACGAATTATCAGGACACACCTAGGAACAAACCCTATACCTCCTGACCCCACCTTACAGGCTCCTCTGGATCCTACTTTCTAAAGGGAGCACTCCCAGGACGGGGCGGGGTGGGGGATCTGTATCTCACTTCGGTCAAACACTTGCCATACTTAACTGGATTTCCAGGAGCCAACTTTCAAAGTTAAAACTCATGAAAGAGGTACTAATTTAAAAAGCCATTAATTCCAACATCTCTTCCTTTTGGAAGTAAGCAGACTACGTAGGACATGAGTTCTGGATGTGTCTTCCTTTTGTACGTAAACAAAACCCCAGTCTCGTGACGTCAGAGGTTCAAAGACTCAAGGTGGCAGGGAGCCTGCACGATCATCTGTGGGAAAATACTTACGGCTGGCTTGTCGCGGTGAGTGTTCACAGCCTCCACGTTGAGTTTAATGGTTTCCACTTTGCATCCTGGGGAAACAGGAAAGAGAAAGGCCTTCAGGAAAAAAGCTCCAAGAACTATTCCTTAGTTTCAGTGTGAGAAACATACCACATAAGAATGTATATATTCCCAAACACACATATACATACATCCCTTTTCTAAAAGATTTTATTCATTTATTAGAGACAGAGCACGCACACGCACACGCACACGTGAGCTCTCACACAAAAGGGGGAGGGGCAGAGGGAGCAGCAGTCCTGGCTAGACGCAGAGCCCGACACGCAGTGGGATTCCAGGCCCCCGGGATCCTGACCCGAGACGAAGTCAGACGCCTCACCGACTGAGCCACCCAGGCACCCCCCCCCCCCCCGCCATACATCCTTTCAAAAATGGAAGGTACTGATGCAATTCCTCTGGTACACAGGGGTGGATGACAGGCTTCTAGAGAAGATTCAAACAGCCTGACTTTCTTCAATTCCCCCACCCCCCGCCCAGCAGCCGCCAAGCTTATGGTTACCGTAGGCCACAGGAGTAAGTTTGAAGATGGTATGGAGAGGGCACCTCAAGTACGGTAGCTCATCTGAAAGCAGAAAGGCAGGGGAGAGAAGTCTCTCAGTACCGCGTCGTAAGGTCAAGTCGGTGGGGAAATCTAAGGAGCTTGCGGGGTTGTCTTTACCTTGACCCCGGGTTGTACGACTCCACCCCTAAACCCCAGACAATGATCAGGATGGCCACCAAGAAGCTGCCCAAGCTACTGAGAGGCTAACATCCGTCCATTTTAGATTTTTCCATGCAGCAGAACAGAAACAAGTGCAGAAGCCAGGACCCGGTGGAAGCGAAGACTGTGGCCCCCTGGGTGTCCCAAAGGTCCAATCCTCAGGCTTCCCAGCAGCTCAGAGAGAGGAGGAAGGGAAGGGGCAGGGGCAGAAAAGCCAGCAACTTCCTTACAGCTCTACCCAGAAACTACCCTGTGCTGCATCCAAAGGATGAAGATGCTAAGACACGGCCCTCCTTACAGCCAAACAACCAGCTGGGAATATTCAACCACTTTTCTGATTCTGCCAAGAGAGTCAGTTTGACGCCGGCCCTTTAGCCAAGCTGGATGAAGGAGCTCCAGCAGCAGCCACTCTCCACTGGGGGCTTTTGTACCAAAGGAGTAAATTCAGCAAGTAGTTGGTGCGGTGGCTGCTGGGAGCCCCACACTGCTGCTGGAAGAATGCACTCCAATTTGAGTAGAAGAGGGGGAGGTTCGGTTGCCTGGGATCCTGGTGCCATCCCGAATCCAGGCCCCTCCCCGTAAATGTGTCCCCTGGCCCTTTCCTCAAATGTCACCTGCACCCTTGTCCAGGAAGTAGGCCAGCAGGCAGCGCATGACAGCTTGGTGGGAGATGACGAGGACGTTGCCCTGGCGCTCCAGCTCCATGATGACGGGCTCCAGCCGCTGCACCAGGTCCTGGTAGGACTGTGGGGGAAGTGAGGCAGACTGGTAGAAGGCCAGGCTCAGGCTGGCAGCCAAGGCGGTGGCTGGCTCCAGAGTCAAGAGGCCACTTCTCCTTCCCCAGCTGGCTTTCCTCCTGGAGATTCAGCGACTTCAAGTCACCGGCTAACTCCCCCAGCCCTGGGATCCCTCGAGAATACTCAGACCTCTCAAGAGTAACAGTCAGGTCAAGAAAACTACAGGTCAAAAAGAGGAAATGTGAATTCAGCCTGTCTTATATTTCCTTCCCACAGACGAACAGGCAGCGCATGAGGCAAGGAGAGGCTCCTAGGGGTTTCCAGAACCTCTCCCATTGGCTCTAGACTATGAAGTCGCTCAGGCCAGCCAACAGCCTCAAACACAAAAGGTGACAGGGAAATCATTCATCCCCCATATATTTACTCGAGCCTATGCCTGCTTGGGTGGGGGTGGGACCTAGGGAGTGCAATGAAGAAAAAAAAAAAAAAAAGATGTTGATTCTACAACTAATCAACACAGAAGACATCCTGGCACTCTCTTCCCTGGAGAGACATTCGACTGTCTAAGCTGAATTAAATGTGACCCAAAGGCCAGAGGACGAAACTACACGATGCCTTGACTACCCTTTCTAGACCCCCCACCTCCCACCAGATCCTTCCCCCAAGTTAAAGCAGTCGCCCCACATGAGAAGAAACCTCACCTCCCCACCAGGGTACCGATACAGGTATTTCTCTTGATCTCGAAGAGCGAACTCGTCCGGGTACTGCTTCTCAATCTGTGCATAGGTCATCTCCTCGCACACGCCCTGCAGGGAGCCACACGGGCTGCAGGAGGGAGGCCAGCCCCCGCGGCCCACCCGAACTGAGGAATCCCAGCTTCTTACTGCGCACCAGGCACTGTGCCAGGTCCTTGCCCGGGCGGCTGGGACTAGCAGGAGGAGGGCCACCACACAGAGGACGTGGCATCTCCAGCTTACGCTGCCACTTGCTCGGACTCTTCAGAAAAGTTAAAGGTCCGAGAAAAGTCAGCAGGATAAAGGGATCAGGAAGCAGGGGAGGAGAAGAAACTGAAGGGACAAGAAAATTCTTGCAGAAGGCGTTAAGAGTACAGAGGAAGAAAAGAGAAAGAAAGGCCTGCTTTTGTGTTCAAGGACGGGGAAGCCAAAAATTGGAAAGGAGTTTTCTAAGCAGAAACTAAAGAAGTGAGTTGTCAGCTATTTCTTCTTCCCAAGAGAAAAAAATACAAGGGAACCAAATGGAGCTGCATTCTCCCCAGGTGCCAGGGGGCCTAGGTCACAGAATGGTTTGGGGCCGTCACTGGCACAGGTGCTACCTGGTAGTTCTAGTCTTCTAGGTCAAACCGCCCATATCATGACTTCTGAGGGCTCTTGCTGGAATATGAGACTCTTACTGGCTTTGTAGCCATCAGAGTTCCTACTCACAGCATCGATCTCGTTCAGAATCTTCCACTGCTCATAGGTCACACCCAGGGATTCAGCGGTCTGGATAGTCCTCTTTAGCTGGCTCGTCCACACTTTGAGGTCTGCTATCTCCTGTTCCTCCAGAAACTTCCTTAAAGCCTGGGCAAACTGAGGTTGGGGATAGAAATTTTCAAAGGAGAGAAACAGGTGCGTGCGTGTGCATGTGTGTGCACACACACTCACAATTGCTAACTCGGCCTGTAAAGGATGATATGCAGGACCATGATCAAAATCCAAAAAGTGCTACACAGTCATGATAAACCCAAGAGGAAATGAACTTCCACTGGAGCATCCTGTACTGTGCTAAGCATACAAGTCGTGCCCAATAAATAACTGACGGTTGAATTAACAGCAGAAGTGGTTCCCAAGTTACCATATTACAACACAGCCAGAATGAGTGGACGAGAAGAGGTCTTCAGCATTTGCTTGACCATCTGAAACTACCATCTAAGCCCCAACGGGATTTAGGAAGAAGTAAGGGGATAAGAGAGAGGACCTCCACCATGCCCTTCCTCCAACTCTAAGCCTGGGAAATCCAGCCTACTGCTGAACATCTCACCTGTTTTCCCCGAGCCGAGAGGCCAGAGTCACCCCCAATCTTCCCCAAGAGGTTGAATTCGCTCTCTCCATGCCGGCAAAGGTAAATGGTACGAGGCTGCACGTGGATATTCATGAGGTAGTAGACGATCTTGCTCTGGATGTAGTCCTGGACTCTGTTCACTAAAAATCGCTGGCCCACGTTTATCACCTTGATGAAAGACAGATCCCTGGGACAGAGCAGGAGAAAAAGAGAACCCGTGAGATTGATAATTTGAGGAGAACAGCAGGAAGGGAAGGATTCCCACAACGACTTGTGGGCTCAAGGCCCCTCTTCCTCCTCTCCTGTCAGAGTTGACCCCCATGTAAGGAACCAAGCAGTAAGAGACGGATTACACCTCAGACCCGAGGAGGTAAGATGTCCCAAACTTCTGGCCAACCTACCATTTCTTCAGTGCCTATGGTGTGCCATGTAGTGTAGGTAAGTATGATATGAAGAATCCAGGCTTTCCCTCAAGAGCTAGGCTAGGTGACCTCACAATTTTGCTAACCCTAAAGTTTGGTGAGAAGCACAACCCCCATGTGAGGCAGTCAAGACCTGGCCCGGGGACAGCATCACAGGCAGGCAAGATCTCTGCAGAATCTTAGAGATCTCTACACATCCCCTGCATCCACCTAATCAAGCCTCTCTCAGAGGTACTTCCGCAGTGGTTGCGTCATCAGACAATTTCTCTCACTGTAAAGATAATAAATGCATATTCCAAAAAAAAAAAAACTTTCAAAAAAAAGGTGGAATGATGCAAACAAAAATCACCCAAACGCTACCATCAGAAATACTATCTATAAACCTACAGACACTGTTCTAGAATGTTTTCCTACATAGGGCTTCTATGTAGAAGAATATACTATTACACCATTTCTAGAGCAATGGTTTCAACCTCTGTAGGAAGGAACACCTCCCAATACTAACATTCTGGGCAATCGACTTGAAGGAACTTAAGACTCAAAACATTGAGCAGACCACTAACACACCAGAACAGAGGGCTATGCACACTTTTCTCACCACCTTCAACATGGATTTGTCATTTTACTATGGCTCTTACGTCTCACACACACCAAGTTAACCCACACTGAGGACTGTGTTGCCAACAGACACTACCACATTAATAATGGCTGGCACCCCATCAGACATTTCTGATGAGCCAGGCATGTTCTTAAGGACTTTACCTGCTTTATATACATATGTGTGCGTATGTACACACACACACGTATCTGTACATACATACACACATCTTATATATAACGTTTATATATGTTTGTTATACACTTTTACTTACATTTGTATTATGTGCAGTTATACATGATATTGTGTATATATATATTTGTACAGTACATTTTACATAAACATACATTTTTACTGTTACTATTCCAAGTGTAACATGCGTACTTCTACATTAACGTGTGTGTGTTACGCTATAGTGTGTGTGTATATATATAGTATATATATGTAGAGTATAAATACATACACATATACACAATAAACTTTAAAATTGATCGAAAGCTGATGACGCATCTCTACAACACCCTAGATCCGAACTACTGATTTTGCTCCCCAGGGACCCGTGGCAACACCTGAAAACATTTTGGGTCGTCGCAGGTTGGGAGTGTTACTGACAGCTAGTGAGCAGAGGCCAGGGAGGCTGCTGGACATCCTACAATGCACAGGGCCCCCTAGGGCTATAACAAAGAATTAGCTGGCTCAAAATGTCAGCAGTGCAGAGACTGAGAAATCCTGTTTTAGAGGACAGAGAGGAAGAACTGACGATAGAAGACACTTCACTGTGCGAGTATAAGATGCAACCTACACAGAAGCCACAAATCCATACCTTGTTTCTCTGGAATGATGGAAACATTACAGGCCTGGATGGTCAGCAGAAAGTATGCGGACAGAGGGAGGAAGGCTCTTTTCTCAAGCGAGACCCCTGCCTCAGGCCCTTCAAACCGTGGCCTCAAACCTTACTTGTCATAGTTGTCTGGGTCAAGGGGTCGGTAGGTGACTTTGTAGCACTCGATTCTCTTTAGGAAGTCCTCCATCACATTCTCCCTGTTCCTTTCAGGGTAGTCCGGGCTCGACACCTTTACCTCCTGGAATCATAGGGAGAGGAGGGCCTGGTCAGAGGTGTGCCCTTAACAACCCTCCTGCAAACAGCCAATGCTAAATAAAGAGAAGGAAGTCCATAGAAGGGCCCTTTTGCTGGCACGCTGGCAGTCCTTGTTTACTAAGCACCCCCTCCCTGTCCTGTGACCCTGGCAACCAAGAAAGGAAAGACAACTGGGAGTCATGTGCCTGCCCTTGGCTGAAGGACTGAGACAGTCACACAGCTCAAACTGCTCCTGGGCCCCAATCCCTTTATGGGTCCTGCTAGGTACACAGAATGGGTTTCAATTTCTCCGTACGGTCACTCTGAATAGGGTGCATGATGTGGCACGCCTGACTTGGACGAGATGCCTCTTCTTAGACGTGTCCGAGTTCCCACACTGCTAGGAGAGCACTACATGATACCGGGTTTACATAGCACAGTACAACCCATCAGATGGGCACTGGTTTATACCGTGACTGGACAGGGCATGAGGCACTCAGGGCATAGAGCACTGACAGTCAGTGGGCAGAGCACTTTCCTGCATGGTGGCCCTGACAGACAGTGAAGAGACTAATCTACTCTGAAGACATCCCCAGGTCTCAGCATCCAGCTAGTCCCCAGAAAACAGAACCAAAACTCCTACAGTCTAAGTCTTGGCTTCAAACGACAGCCCATTCTTCCTTTATTCCTCAAAGTCTCAGTTTCTTCTCCTAAGGGAAGAACGTGGATGTCTAAAATGGTGCTCTGGAAGATCAAAAAGATCACCCTGCACTGTTAACCGGGTCTCTTTCTTTCTTTCATTACCCAGCAGACTCTCCCCCCATCACCCACCAACACACACATAACCCAAGGGAGAAAGGACAGGAGATGGTATGCAAGGGGTGTCACCTACCAGGATGTTGGCAGCAATGACATCAGGATCATCGCAGACAGATTCCACAAAGAATACCTGGCCAGGGAGAGAAGGCGGTGATAAATGAGCCAAAAATGCCCAGGCTGTTCATTAACAGCCTATGTTCACGCCTGCCCCACTGCAGCCACCACAGCCCCCAGGATTTTCTTTCATGGACGTGGCCTTCAAGGCCTCTTCATTCAGGAGTAGCTCTTACCACATCCCCCGGGCCTCAGACATACAGGCTAAGGGGCTGAGAAAGCACCTAAAAGAAAAGGAGTGGGGGTATTCCCCAAGAGAAGCAAAGCGGATAGCCAATCCTGTCCTCACCCGCCAGAGTCAGATCCGCACGTCCCTCCTGACTCCCCACCTCCACTCATCCCTTTCCTCCAGCATGGAGCCAGATCCTACCTTGAAGGAATTCTCCTTGGCAAAGCTCAAAATCATGTCCCTCCTCTCCCTGGTGGTATTGGTGGCATCGAACACCTGGGAAGAGAGGCCACGAAGTAGATGAGTAGGCTAGGAGAACTGCAATCCCACCAAGGCAGACCTAACGTGAGGCTGTGCAATCTCTTGGATGGAGATCGAGATGGGGAAGAAGCAGGGAAGGCTTACAGCAATCTGCCCGTTCTCCTCAGTAAGATACGCCTTCACATCTTCCAGCGCCACCAAAGCACACTGTCTGCCGTCAGAACAGAGGACATCATGAGGGTAGTGCCAGGCAAGTTCAGGCACAGCCAGAGACACAAACCACTGGGCTGCTGGGGGAGTCACGTGCCTTCCCTCCTGGTTTTCCCTGTGGTCAAAATTTTCCCCTAACTAGACTTTTCAACTTTCCCACTGTTTTTGGACCAGCCTAGATCTTTCCCCTTCCCCTGCCCCATGCATATAAGGTATCCCTCTACAGGTTTACTCTGCAAACATACATGCATCTCCCTGAGCCTGTTCTTCTACGTACCTAAGCCCAACGTGACCTGTCCACCAAATAACTTCCAGTTCAAATTCCCACTGATATTACTGAATATTTAGTGAAAGGAAAACCCAAGCCCTGCAACATCCAGTCTTATGATGGCAGAGAAAGAGCTGGCTGGGAGGTCAGGCCTAAGAAGACTCACTTGCGGATCTTCATGGCCTCCTCATTGTCGTGTCGGAAGAAGTCGTAGGACTTATAGGACTTGACTGCTTCACGTCGATATACCCCAAGATTAAACACTGCAGATGACACCAACAGCCTTCAGCAGTGAAAAAATACAATGGCCCCACCAAAGGGGACTTCTTGATCTAACGTCAGAGTGGCCAAGGAAATGGAAAAAAAAAAAAAGCACCATGGTACGCTGGGAACAATACCAGATTTAAGAGTCAAGTTAGAATCAAGTTCAGGCTTATTAGACCTTGAACAAGTCTTAAACTGTCTGAGTTTCAATTTCCTCAGCCACTTTGGCTATTTCACAGTAGTACTACTAAGATTAGACAAGATGATATAGAAGGACGTAAAGCCCTATACCGTCAAAGGCATGCCCTCAAAACTAGGGCAGTCCACCCAGGCCAAGAGAAAACAAGTCTATAAACAGGGAATAAATCTAGTAAATCAGGAATCAACTACTATTTCTTCCAGGAGCACCCCGTAATCCTGATGCCAAGGAGAGTGAGTCTCCCAAAGGCCTGGGAGGCCCAAGAACTAGTCCTTTCCCTTCCCAAGGAATAAATGACCTGCACCTACCTTTGGTGGGCACCCCAATCCAGTTGAGGTAGCGTGTGAGTTTCTTAGACACATACGTTTTGCCCCGGGCTGGCAAGCCAATCATAACGATGAGAGTTGGGGAGTTGGTCATATAAGATGCCCACGCTAGAATGGAAAGAGAACAGAACTGAATGGCTGAGGGGCTGCGGAAGGTTTGTGCCCTGGGCTAGGAACTTATAGACCATAACCTCGTTTAATCTTCATACACCTCAGTAAAGCCAGGGGGAGGACTAGGATGGCAAAGAGAAGAGCTATCAGACCAAACTCCTAAAAGAGAACTAAAAGGTCATATAAATTTCCAAGTACCCAACCAAGACATGTCTTCCCGACATGGACAAAGTCTCCACAGAGGTACCTAAGGTGGAAAGAGAGGCAAATGTGGCAAGGATGGAAAGATTAAGAACCACGGCACCTTCCTTAACATGAAAATACCTAATAACACAAGAACAATAGGGCTGTGGAGGCACGCCTTGTGCCTGGAGATTCTCCAGTGATGAGCCAGCCTGACTCCTACAATAGGTCCAACAGGGTTTCTATCCTGAGGATCCCATCTATCCCTTCAGAGCCATGGGCAAGAACTAGCTTGCCCACTGTAAAAAGGGCCTGGTCTCAAGCCGTTTTGGCCTTTGTGCTCAAGACAAGCTTAAGCCAGAATTTCTAAACCACAGTGGGATGCAGACTGTGGCAAACCCTACTTGACACAAGTTCTATCTGCGTCCTGAGGTCTATGAGTAGACCTCAGGAAGCTTCACAGTAAAGCTAGCCTATAAGGGCATCATGGCCAGTCGGCCTCGTTGGCCATGTGAAAACAAGAAATTTAGAAGCAGGAACAGCCACTCATCCATCCTTCCTTACGAGACTTATTTCGGGAACGCTCACGTACAGAGCTAAGGCTCACTCGACAGGCAGGGCAACCTAGGTGGTCAAGTGACTTGCCTAAGGCTACAGGATGAGTCACGGAAGCGCTGGCATTAGAATCCAGAGCTTGTGCCTCCTCCGCAGCTTGCTCAACAGGGGCTGGTTCCTCCCTGCCCATCCTGCCACAGAGGGGTGGGAGGAGAGGGGCCTCCATTGCAGCTGCCCACTTTCCTGGGGCCAGCACCCAAACTGAGGTTGGGTAAGGAGGACTCAGGCTCTGTGGGCTCCTGTGAGGGGAGGGAGAAAGAAATGGCCTTCGCTTTCCACTTCCCAGCACTGCTTTCCGAAAGGTGCCCTGCAGGTTGCTGCTGCTTCTCTGCTCTGGGACAAGGTGACCCTGTGAAGCTAAGAAACAATTCAGTAAAGCTGAGGTACTTGCATGGGAAAGTCATTTTCAACAGATCTCACTGGAGAAGCGGGCAGAAGGATCTATAGTTGACCTCGGAAGGAAGAGCGTTTCCTGGGGATGTGGGGCAACAAGTACCCAGAAACCAACGAGTGGCCCCAGTGCTGAGGGAGGAGTGGATGCCCGGACTCCGGGTCAGAGGACTTGGCCTTTGGTCCTTCACCCGTGGCCCACATGGAAACTTCCTGGGCGTGGGCAGGGACTCCTCCAGAGCAGGTAAAGAGCAACGTAAGTGATTTTCATCTGTGTCCAAACAGGGAGCTCGAAGGCAGGCAAACATCAGCCTGCAGCCTCAGCTCATGTGAACCCCTGATCTCTGACCCGACAGGTCTGCCCGGGGAAAGCTGCTTCAGGTGTCAGCAGTACAGTCCTCATGAATCTTCACTTTCTCCAGCTCAGCACCACACTCTGCTCAATCCCTCATGATCTGCCTCATTACCTGCATTTCTGGGCCTGCTTTGTCCACAACTTCCAGCCCATTAGGCACTTCCCCCCAAAGGTCCTCTTGCTCTCCCCTAAAGCTAAAAATGAACTGATGCTCGGGAGCTTCTCTGAAGCTGAACATTGGACCAGCTGCTGCATGTTTACCTAACTGAACAGAGAATGCTAAGAGCAAAAGAAAACCGGGGTCCCTAAGGACTCCCCAAGGCACCACACCTCCCACCTCCAGGCTTCTCGTTTTTCAGAGTACAAAACTAAAACTCACTTCCCATCTCAAACTGCCACGTTGACAAAACTAGGAACGTTCTGTCCTGCCTGTTACAAAACAAAACCACTGCCACCTTAATTTGAACAGTAGATAGTTCAAGCTGATTCATTTGAGAGACAATATAACCTACCTCTTGGCATATAATGGAAAGCCTGAAACGCTCTCCTCCTACCTTCTTTACACAAGATTTAATTCACTTTCTCAAACTTGGCTCTGCCTCCCGAACACACTTAGAGGAACTGAGGGCTTGGGAACTTCCCTCCTACAAACAGAAACAAACCCAGGCAAATGAAGAGCTTGGCCCACAATTCCATAGTAGAAAGTCAAGGTCAGGGCTCTGACCGGACTCCTGGTTTCGTGACTGCCCCATCAGCCCCGGCCACCAGATCTTGTCAGCACCTGGCGAAGGGAGCCATGTGGTGAGCATGACTATGCTCTCTAATCTAACCCTGAAGGGTGCTCTAGTAGGTCAGTGGTTCCCAGCCTTTTGGTGAACAAGGCTTTCTTCCACTGTTTGTTCTAAACAGGCCCAATATTTTTGAAATACGCAAGCTGATTAAAATGTGTTGCATTTGTATTTTTTCCATTCATGAGACGTCATAAAACTGCTAATTATCTCCTACTATTTGACTGATAGGCATGAAATAACCAAGTTCTGTGGCTAAACACTGAGAAAGTTAACGTTGCAGCTCTAGGTGACAATGCTGATTTCCATCCATGCACTTTGAAATATTAAGAATACCTAACAATACAGAACGTTTTCGGAGAATAGATTAGCAATATTGATCAACATTTCAATTGTCTTTCCTCCTATTATGTCTATAGGAAAAGTTGCTGGTGCAAACGTGCAGCTTTCTGTGCAAGGATGCTCCTGCAGCACTGTTTGTGATAGTGGGAAACCGGAAACAGGGCAATTAAAATGTCCACAAGGAAGGAAGCTGGCCTATCCATATAATGCTATACTATGCAGAGAGGTAAATCTGGATTTACAAACACAAGGAAAACCCCATGATATAGTAAGGTTTGTTTTTTTTTTTTTTTAAAGAAAAAAAAAAGGAAAATTGCAGCAGAACAGAATATATGCAGTGTGAATCTATTTTCATTAACAGGATACACCAGAAGATGTCAGAAAAATCGAACTTAAGGACAGGAGAAACTGTGGGAGATTTTTTTACTTTTCACTTTCTGTTTTGTTTGAATTTTTCACAAACATGTCTTGCTTTTTTGTAAATGAGGAAAGGTACACATGGGAAGGCGTTTCGGACCTACTCAAAATCCCACAGAATAAAAGAAACAAAGAAAAGCATGTATACACTCACCCCTGCCCCCACCTGCCTAATTCCTGAGGTGCCTGAAACCAGTCTATCTGAGCACCTTAAAGGAACCTCTGCCAGCTGTTCCCCAGTAACGCTCCTTTGGGAGGTTTTGGCTCCCTGAAGTCCTTCTCCAGTCCTTCTCTGAGTGAAGTTAGCCAACAAGGTGTAATTGGCAGCAAGGGGATAACGGCTGAGCTATTAATAAAGCAATTGCTAGGTGTGAGCACAGCCAGGGGAGCCTGCTCCAACACCAGGCAAGCGATGGGGAGAAGGAAATAAACACCTTTTTCTCCTCCTACTTTGGCTGCAGCAGTCTCCCAGTCCAACCCATGAGGGGAGAAGAGAGAGAGTAAACGAATGATGGTGGAGTCAGGACAACCCAGATGCTTCTAGTGGGAGCGAAGAGGATGGAGTTTGGAGAGGAGAAATCAGAGCACGGAGCAGGAATCAGGGTCTAGAGGATCAAAAGGGGAGACCTGGGATTACTGTCTCCTTGACTATCAAGAGCCCTCAAGGCAGAAAAACTGCAGAAGAGTTTGAATGGCACATAGCAGGTTTCTGTGGAGAATAAAGCTGACGCTGGACACTGTGCAGCCCAGGTTGCCACCTGCACTCTATAACCTTTTGAATCAAGTGTTCCAATAACACAAATGCAGCTCTCTTTAGTACTCCCAAATCTGGGTTACAGTATTGTCTAGAGGAGAAAACATTCTTTACTGAAAATCTAATCCTTCACAGGGCTCTTTTAAATGGTTAGCTCCCAGCACGGCATTTACAGTACGATTCAATTTATATGCAACGAAAAGTCACCAATGAAAAATAATACGCTTTCGCTCTATAAACACTCTTCTAAGTGCTTACTTATATTTACTCATTTAGTTCTCACACTGCTCTTCGGGGAGGCACTATTAGTATCTCCGTTTTACAAGTAAGCATACTAAGGCGCAGAGAGGATAAGCAACTTGTTCAAGGGCATGCAGCTAGAAAGGAGTAAAACGAGGATTCAAACCCAGGCAGTCCAACTCCAAGGGCTGCACTCAAACATCATGCTATCCTAGTTTTCTTCTGGGGTCTTGCACTCAGTACCTGGCTTCGGGCCCTGGTAGAGGAAGGAGACCCTAATCGTGCAGATGTGCCAACCCCAGTATCATATCCAAACAAGCTGCCTCTGTCGCAGCACAAAGCCCAGCAAGCTTCATTAGTGATAGATGAAAACAGATTATCATCATCAGTCACGAGACTGACAAGGAGGTGACATCAAGGTTGAGACTCTGGGGAAAGATTTGATCGTGACAGGATTGATTTTCCAGGTCTTATTCTGGTCGGCTATTTCCACTTGCTGTATACAGGACCGCTGACGTGAGAACGGACTGACAGGGTTCCAAAGGAAAGGTACATCTGGAAGCAAGGGCAAGGGTTAGCATTCCTGGAGGGTCCCCAGAAACTGTAGGGACCAGTTGCCTGGGACCTTTTGGCCATACAGTCTATAAATGAGGATTAGGAACTCAGATGCAGAGGGAGAAGAAACGATGTTTCATTTCTATGCAAACCCACCTGCTGTCTCTGTTTATAGAACTGGCAATGGAAACTGTCTCAGTGAAACCTGTCCCCAGAGGAATGAACCTGCAGGAAAGGCAGCTTGCAAAGTGCAAAGGCTAGCCCAGTGGGAAAACAGGGTGCCCAAGTCACAGTGAGAGGTCAGATGTCAGAACCTGACTCTCCTGAGGCCTGTCGAAATTAACTACTACTGGCTTTTACCTGCAATTTCTGCAGTGCGCAGCACCCTCACAAAACACGGCCCCAAAATAAAGGGAAACTGTTAACAGTATCAGCCCTAAGTAATCCCCGCACCTGCCACCCTGCCTTAATCTCTGTGTGGGTAACTTTCAACATCAATCAAGTGTGCAGATGCCCCTACGAGACAGCTAGAGAAAGCAGTAAGAAAAGGTGGGGGATATACCAGCAGTCTGGCCCCAGTGACAGACATTTCACTGGGCCTACTCATTTCAGACAAGAAATTCCCCTGGTAGACTTGGGTTTTCAGTTCCCATGTCAAAGAATTCTCTCTCCCACCAGGTATCAAAATCTAGCATTACAACTATAGCCCTAAGAGAAACATCCCGGGAGGGAGCAGCCCCCCTCCTATTTCCCCAGACTCACAACATTTCTTCTCTGACATTCGAAGATTGGAGGTTTTGGTTTCATAGCTGTTGTTGTTCTGTTCCGAGGAAGATTCAATATTCCCAGACATGGCAGCACTTCCGGAGATGTCTGAAAGGGACAAAAGGAATGTAAGGAAGGAGACATCCCTCAAGAGACTCCGTGAAGAGGACAGGTGCAGAGCAGTGAAAGAATCTTGGGCCAAGGGGATCCCTGGGTGGCTCAGCAGTTTAGAGCCTGCCTTCAGCCCAGGGCTTGATCCTGGAGACCTGGATGGAGTCCCACGTCGGGCTCCCCGCATGGAGCCTGCTCCTCCCTCTGCCTGTGTCTCTGCCTCTCTCTCTCTGTCTCTCCTAAATAAATACAATCTTTAAAAACATTTTTTTAAAAGGGGGTTGTTTAAAAAAAAAAAAAAAGAACCTTGGGCCAAGAATCAAGTTCAGCCCTCTTGCTCCGGGTTAATAGCTCCGATGCCCCTAGATAAGTCCTCCTTAGCCCTGTTTCTTCATCTGTAAACTCCGTTGCACTAGAACCTTGCCCTTTTAATGCTGACTTGGGAGTTACATTCACATAAATTGGCTCCTTCAATCCTCCTAATAATACTTCTGCAAGGCAGAGGTGGCTACCATTGTTCCTTTCGCCCAAAATGTACAGGTTGAAAGACGGAATTCAGTCAAATGAAGTGGCTCATCCACATTCCTTCCTGACCTCAGATCCTGGTTTTCGGAGCTGGGGAGGACAGCGGCACGAGTCAAGAAGTCACGGGTGTGCGAATGGGCTGCAGAGATAGGTCGAGTCCGTGATTGTGAAGTCAGTCATTGCAGTCCAAGGGCAGGATTCGGTCCTGCCAAAAAAACGGGAGAAGTGGGGGGAAAGCTCAAACACGGTCCCTGATGGAAAAGCTGTGACCGGACCCGGTGACGACCCCGGCGCGTCATCGCCATCTCTCCTCCGGGGTTCCCCCCCTCCAGCCCTTGCTCTGCACCCTCTCCCCATCTGCCCCGCGGCTCGCAGTCTGTAAGGAACACTGGGGAGCCAAGAGGTGGTAAATGACTTCCCCAAGGTCACCTGCTGAATGCGAAGCCGTGACTCCCAGCTGGGGTGGGCGAGCCTCGAGCTCACGCCCCGCAGCCAGACAGGCAGCGCGTGGGGACCAAAGGTCCTACTGCTCCGAGCACCTTGCACGGTCCTTCCGCGGACCGCACCGACCCTCCGAGCCAAGGCACCCGCCGCCGCCCCCTCCCCCGCCGCCGCGAGGCATCCCGCCCCGCCCCGCCCCGGGCCCTGCGGCGCGGCAGCCGCTCACCCTCGGAGCCCTCCGCAGCTCCCCCCGGCAGTGGCCCCGGCCCCGGCACCGGCCCCGGGACGCCGCGGACGGGAGCCGGCACATCACGTGCCCCGGCCAGGCCCCGCCACCCTGGCGTCGGTCCTCACCTGGAGAGGCTCATCCGCCAATCCGGCGGCCGCAGGCTCCCCGGGGCGGGGCTCCGATCGCCCCCGCGGACGGCGGCCGCGGAAGGTGGAAGGAGAAACCGCGCAGCCCGGAGCTCGCGAGCTCCCGAGCGTCCCCGCACCCGGGAGGTGCGTTGCGTCGTTGCTAGGCAACTCCCAGAGCTGGGGGCGGGGCCAACCAAGACGACGCCCCGCCCCCGGGAGATGGGCGGGGGGGGCTTCCTCTCGCGAGAGTGGACGGCACAGAGGTCGGGAGGGGCTGGGACTTTTTAGCAGCGGGAAAGCCTTGCGGGGTTAACGCTTTCCTCCCTGAACCCCGGGGGACCTCGGGACGCCCGTGACCTGCAACGTAAACTCGAGAAGGTGCTTGAGCCGACGGCGCCGTGGGGCGCGTGCGTGCCCTGGTAGGCCGGACCCCGGGGCCACTCTGGTTGCCCCAGCAGGAGCCCCCCTCCCCGCGGTCCCCCGGCGCCGGCCGTCTCCGAGCACCAGATGGGGAAACTGCCTCGGCAGAAACGAACAGAAGGACACAGGGTCACGAACGGTGTCCAAAAAGGCAAAAAGCTTTCATAAAACTTAGAGGTAGGGAGAGTGAGAGGGGGGAGTTTGCGAATTTCGCGTGCACTTTTCAGCTGCCCCCAGGCCTTTTCTGATGATGCTGGATTCTGTTGATAAACCCAAACCCCAGGGTACGCAGGTGTGCTGCCTCGGATCCCGGGCGGCGTGCGTGCGTGCGTGCGTGCGTGCGTGCAAATAAGTAAGGACTATGGATTTCTTGGAAAAGAAAGAAAATCAGGGAGGCAAAAATAAGTAAATAAGGACTATGGATTTCTTGGGAAAGAAATCCAGAGAGGCCAAAATAAATATATAAATAAATAGATACTATGGATTTCTTGGAAAAGAAAGGAATTCAGAGAGGCCAAAATAAATATATAAATAAATGCTATGGATTTCTTGGAAAAGAAAGAAATCCATAGAGGCAAAAATAAATAAAGACGGACTATGGATTTCTTGGAAAAGAAAGAAATTCAGGGAGGCAAAAATAAAGACGGACTATGGATTTCTTGGAAGAGAAAGAAATTCAGCGGGGCAAAAATAAATGAATGAATGAATGAATGAATGAGTGAATAAATAAGGACTATGGATTTCTTGGAAAAGAAAGAAATTCAGGGAGGCAAAAATGAATAAAGACGGACTATGGATTTCTTGGAAAAGAAATTCAGGGGAGCAAAAATAAATGAATGAATGAATGAATAAATAAGGACTATGGATTTCTTGGAAAAGAGAAATTCAGAGAGGCAAAAATAATTGATTGATTATTAATAAGGCCTATGGATTTCTTGGAAAAGAAAGAAATCCAGAGAGGCAAAAATAAATAAGTAAATAAAGACTATGGATTTCTTTGAAAAGGAAGAAATTCAGAGAGGCAAAAATAAATTTTAAAAAATTAATATTAATTATTAATAAGGACTATGGATTTCTTGGAAAAGAAAGAAATCCAGGGGGGCAAAAATAAGTAAGTAAATAAAGACTGGATTTCTTGGAAAAGGAAGGAATTCAGAGAGGTCTTTATTCCTCCTTCACCTGGGGATTAAACTCATCCTTCAAAAAGAGCTCAGGCAGGATCTCCTCTTTGGAGCTTTAGGGTTGGGGGCTCCGCGGCCGCCTCCATCCGTCCAGCAGCCGTTCGTGGGGCGCGGTCCTCGGTGCTGGGGGCGCAGCGCTGGAAAGGTGACCGCGTCCTGCATTATCGCGTGGCCGTGACAGCCAAGGGTCCTGCCCCCCCCACCCCACCCCCCCCCACCCCCGCCGCCTCCCGATGCGGGGAGGACTCGGGGTACCCGAGGAGGCCGCGGAGGCCCCTTCCTGGCCGCGACCCCAGGACGGCCTGGAGTCCGGATGACACAGGTCAGTCCTCTTCGCTCCTGCTCTTGGGGCCACCACCCCAGGGAGCAAGTGCCCCGGGCGCAGGTGCCGACCTCGGGCGCTCTCTGGGGTGGCCGGGGCACGGGTGCAAGTCCCAGCGCCCTGCAGGTGGCGGGGCCGGTCGTCCGGCTGCCTCGGCCTCGATGAGTCAGTTTGCTGCAGCCGCGGGCCCGCTCACGAGCGCCTGATTGCCCCTGACTCACTGACCATTCTCGGCATTCGTCTGCGTCCCGAACCGTGACTCCGATCTCTCCAGGTGTGGTTTGCAAGCCACACACTTTAATAGCTTCCGACCTCACCAAGGGCAAGGTCACATGCCGAGGTGCCCGATTCAGGATCCCCTCCCTCCGCCCTCTTTCCTGGAGCATATATGCGGCCAAGGCAAGAGGGCACCTCACTCGCTCTACAGGGAGCAAGGCCACCTGGGCTGTATACAGCGAAGTCTTCATCCTTGGGCTCGCGCGCGGTCGGCGGCACCGAGGGACTTGTCACTTTAAGAGAGTTCGCGCTTCTTAAAGGGCTGAGGCCCGAGCCGCAGCCAACCCTCGCGAGAACTGTAGCCCCCGGCGGTTTCTCGCGATGTCTGGCCCGGCCAAGGGTGGCCATTTTGGAGTCCCCCGGGCGGCTGGTTGCCCCGGCGGCGTCTGCCCACCTGCTGCCGGGACCCGGGCTGGCCGCGCCGCTGCCCGGAGCTGGACCCACACGATGTGGCGGCTCCGCTGCAAGGCCAAGGATGGCACCCATGTGTTGCAGGGCTTGTCCAGCCGGACCCGAGTGCGGGAGCTCCAGGGCCAGATTGCCGCCATCACCGGGATCGCGCCGGGCTGTCAGCGGATCCTCGTGGGGTACCCGCCCGAGGGCCTGGATCTCAGCGACGAGGACACCGTTCTAGGGGATCTGCCCATCCAGTCCGGTAAGGGGGCGAGCCTGGGGCCGGGGAGAGCCCTGGGAGGACGGAGAGGGGCGTGCGCGGGGGACAGAGATCCCGGTCGGCAGAGGCGGGAGGACTGCGGGCCCCGCGGGGGCGGGAGGCCAGGATGGGGGAGGGTGAGGGTGAGGACGGGGGGTGAGGATGGGGGGTGAGGATGGAGAGGTGAGGACGGGGGCTGAGGATGGGGGGTGAGGACGGGGGCTGAGGATGGGGGGTGAGGACGGGGCTGAGGATGGGGGGTGAGGACGGGGCTGAGGATGGGGGGTGAGGACGGGGCTGAGGACGGGGGCTGAGGATGGGGGGTGAGGACGGGGCTGAGGATGGGTGAGGACGGGGCTGAGGATGGGTGAGGACGGGGCTGAGGATGGGGGGTGAGGACGGGGGCTGAGGATGGGGGGTGAGGACGGGGCTGAGGACGGGGGCTGAGGATGGGGGCTGAGGATGGAGAGGTGAGGACGGGGCTGAGGATGGGGGGTGAGGACGGGGCTGAGGACGGGGCTGAGGACGGGGGCTGAGGATGGGGGCTGAGGATGGAGAGGTGAGGACGGGGCTGAGGATGGGGGGTGAGGACGGGGGCTGAGGATGGGGGGTGAGGACGGGGCTGAGGACGGGGGCTGAGGATGGGGGCTGAGGATGGAGAGGTGAGGACGGGGCTGAGGATGGGGGGTGAGGACGGGGCTGAGGACGGGGGTGAGGACGGGGCTGAGGACGGGGGCTGAGGATGGGGGCTGAGGATGGAGAGGTGAGGACGGGGCTGAGGATGGGGGGTGAGGACGGGGGCTGAGGATGGGGGGTGAGGACGGGGCTGAGGACGGGGGCTGAGGATGGAGAGGTGAGGACGGGGCTGAGGATGGGGGGTGAGGACGGGGCTGAGGATGGGGGGTGAGGACGGGGCTGAGGATGGGGGGTGAGGACGGGGCTGAGGACGGGGGCTGAGGATGGGGGCTGAGGATGGAGAGGTGAGGACGGGGCTGAGGATGGGGGGTGAGGAGCAGGACTAAGGATGGGGAGTGAGGAGCGGGGGCTAAGGATGGAGGGGTGAGGAGCAGGGCTAAGGATGGGGGGTGAGGAGCGGGGGGTAAGGATGGGGGGGTGAGGAGTGGGGGGTAAGGATGGGGGCGGTGAGGACGGGCTAAGGATCAATTGAAGACTAGAGGACTCTGGCAGGGGCCGGGGCTGGCAACTCCTCCACTCTGTATAGGGTTGAAGGAGAGAGGGTGAGCCCAACCCATAGTCCATCCCCCCCCCCCCCCCCCCCGCCCCAGCTTTCTAGCCTACCTCGAAAACATCTCGTTCCTTTTGTTTTCCTTCTGCGTCCATAAAAGTCTGAAAAATAATAATAATAAGTTAATAAAATAAAATGAGGTCTATTTCCTCTGTCCCGGTAGCTCTTTCCCCCTCTGTCCCTGAAGGAAGCTTAGCAGGTCCCAAGGCTTCAGGAGCCTTTTCACTTTTGCTGCCCCGGTTGGTTTTTGCCGTCACGTTCGTACATACGTAGCTGCACAGGTACGCTCAGTTGGGAGTATGCTTTTGACACATCCATGGGAGGCCCTTTCAAATCCTAAACCACAGCAGTTGTTTCTGTCCATCACTAAAACCTGACCAGCAACATGGATCATTGAAGGCTTTTCAGCTGTCGTCTGGAGGATCCTTGTAAACACTCACACGCACACCCCCCACGTGCTAGGGATGTTAACTTTCAGAGAAGAACGAGGACCTCCCCCCCCCCCCCGTGGTCTAGTCTGGGGTAAACACATTTTTTTGGAAGACTTGTGCTCTTAGGATGCAGAGGAAGCTGTAAGGAAATTGTGTTGTCGGAGAGGTCTTTTTAAAGCCGATACGAAAGCTTAAACCAGAAGCTTAAAAAGTTCCTTCCCTCAACTGGAACGCAGCCCCCAGTGTTTCTCTCTTTGTTCTGTTTTCATCTTTATGGAGATGGAGCGGACCCCAAGTGTCCCTGGCCTGCTTGTTTGCAGAGCCGTGCTCTCTCTCCCTAGTCACCCAGGCTCTTCCTACTTCAGCTCCTCCTGCGTGTAATTTGCACACTTGGCTAGTGAACAGCCCGTCTCACCTGTGATTTCTCTGCAGTTCTGGATTTGTTTTATTTTCTAACAGGCGACATGCTGATCGTGGAAGAAGACCAAACCAGGCCCAAAAAGTCGCCTACATTCACAAAACATGGTGCTCCCAGTTACGTCAGGGAACCTTTGCCTGTGCTTAGCAGAACAGTGGTCCCAGCAGACAACTCTTGCCTCTTTACCAGTGTGTACTATGTCGTGGAAGGAGGAGTGTTGAATCCTGCTTGCGCCCCTGAGATGAGACGCCTCATAGCACAAATTGTAGCAAGCGATCCAGACTTCTATAGCGAGGCAATACTGGGAAAGACGAATCAAGAGTACTGTGACTGGATCAAAAGGGATGACACTTGGGGAGGAGCTATTGAGATATCCATTCTGTCTAAGTTTTATCAATGTGAAATATGTGTAGTGGATACACAGACAGTAAGAATTGACCGTTTTGGGGAAGATGCAGGATACACCAAAAGGGTCCTGCTTATTTATGATGGCATTCACTATGATCCGCTTCAGCGGAACTTCCCTGACCCAGACACCCCGCCTCTGACCATTTTCTCCTCTAATGATGATATTGTTCTTGTACAAGCACTGGAATTAGCAGATGAAGCCAGAAGAAAGAGACAGTTTACTGATGTAAACCGCTTCACCCTGAGGTGCATGGTATGTCAGAAGGGATTAACCGGACAAGCAGAAGCAAGGGACCATGCCAAGGAGACAGGCCATACCAACTTTGGAGAAGTGTGATCTATGCATGATGAGGATTGCCGCCTACTACCTCACAGATCCAGAAGGCTCTGGGTTTTCCAATAAGCTATTTGTAACCCCTAAAGAACAAAGGACAATGCTTGAACCATCTTTTTAACTTAAAACCACTAAGACACTGAAATTCCTTGTTAAGATTAAAATTAGTGTGCAAGTTTACAGGTGTGTGTCTACAGTGGTGATACATCCATGCCCTTTCTCTGCTGGGGTGACAGAAGCGGTGGTCCTTGCTACCTACCGACAGTAACCTGAGGAGTTGAATCTTAGTACCGTAAACTGGCACCCAGCAGCATTAACCTGTTAGAAGAAAACAACTTCGTATTTTGAGTAATGCGGAAGGCCTCACATGAGGCCACTGGACATAAACTACAGTGTCTCCGTAATTGAATCCTTTTAAAAACTCTGCCTGAGTTAATATTGTTTCTAAATTATGAATTGATTCCTCAAATGAAGACACTCAGAATTGTCAAAACCGATTTTATATTGCAATTTGGTAGACTTTATAAATGTGTACTTAACCAGTTATAGGTACATTGCAAGCAATTTTTACAGGGATGAGTGCGTTCCTTAAGAATATTACCTAAGGAACTGATAGTGCCCAATTTAGGATTTCTAGTGTATAAAAGCAGAATGTATGAGGGAAAAGGTGCCTGAGCAGCTTACTAAAGCTTTAAAAGACCGTCGGCCTCGTGTTTTAACACAACTCATTTATTGACGTTTGTCACGTTGGATAAAAATTTTAAATTAAGCAGGGTATTTATTTTTTAATTGAAGTTTCTTGAAATTTGAGTGCTTGGTTTTTGCTTTTTTACATAAAGAGTTGTCTGGAGGGATTAACTTTTCTCAGCTTTTTCTCCAACTCCTAAAAAACAGTCTTCATCTAAAGTGATAATGCTGTGCTCTGACTTGGTTTTTGTGAGATCTTTGGCTTACCTAAACAGTATTCTTTTTTTCATGCCAGCCTTATCTGGCCACTGATGCGCTTTTGAGTAATTTAATGTTTCTGCAAATTAGCACTTTGCTCATCTACAATCTTTTACTTTGACTTTCAAAGAGTTTTAAAGTAGTTGGGATAATAATGTTGAATGAATTTATTTCACTTCCAAAATAACGACAGTTTTTAAATCCTTGCCTTATTTAACAGCTCTTTTGGAATTCTGCTTCTTCCTAATAATAGACGTGTAGTCATTTGTTTGGTGGGCTAACCTGCAAGACACATCCTCTAAAATTAGCTCCACCATGAGATCTTCCAGATAAAAGTTTTCTACCTCTTTTCGTAATTCTTCTGAAGATCAGGGATGCTAAATTATAATTTGTTATGTATTATCTCACAGAATGTGAAGAGGCTTAGTGTAGTGAAGTTTTGTAATCTTGGTCTCATTTTTTGATGAAGTATCTCACTTACAAAACCAATGGTATACTTTAAAGCACTTCTGGCTCTTTCAGCATATCTTCTTGGCAAACGTTTTAAAATTGAGATTTACTTTTAGCACTTTCACGTGGTGGAGGTGGCCATATAAAATTAAGGAGCATGTGAACAATTCAGTGAACAAGTTCCTTTAAGGAAGAATTCCCAAAGTATGCTTGAAATCATTAGGTGACATTTCTTGAGTACCTATTTTGTGAATAGCTGCTTAAGATATAAGTTACCGATCGGTGTAACTTAAAAGTGTTTAATTTTCTATTTTACTGAGCCTTAAAAATAGCACTTGTGAACTTGCGATAACGTTTGGCAATCATAATATGTACAAATGAGTGTGTTTGAAAATCTCTTTGTACCTGGCTGTCTTCTTGGTCTAAAGATTTTTCTATCCCTTATTCTACCCCACCCCACCCCCTCCCCCCGAAAATAATTACACTTAAAACTAGAAGTTAAGAGTATACCACGGGGTAACCTACATCAAATTGAGCTTTACACATCATTATTCATAAAGCTTGCCTTTCTGTCTTAGGTACTTCAGGAGCCAAACTTGACATTTGCTTACTGGAATTTAGAGAAGTTTATTCATGCAACAAATATTTATTGGGTAATTTATAATGTACCAGGCATGTATTGATACGTTTTCCAACATAAATTTCTGTCACTTTAAAATTGAGTATATTTTACCTACATTGGATTAATTTAACAAATAGAAATAGAACATGATATTTTATAAAAGTAAACTTTTTCATTTTAAGTGTTTTTGTTTGCATATTTAAGCTTATACTTTTATAGCAAGTGTCAGATATTCCGGGGATCGTACTCAATTTTACCTGTTATCTAGGATGTCCATTCACCAACTGGACACTGATAGTCAAATGGCTCTCAGTAATGAGTTCTAAATTAATTAGTTGCTGAAATTCAGCACTAGGACTTGAATGTTCTGATCATGGAAAATCCAAGATGATGCATTATTTGCAGGCAATTTGATTTAGTTCCTGCGAATTAAAAAACCTAAACTTGTGCTCTTTCTAAAACTCAAGCTTATAAACCTCACAGAATCTAAAGATTTTTTTTTAATTGCACTTATGAAACTCTTGAAATTAGTTTATTAATGTGTGTAAATTCTAATCTTCAGAATTTTGAAAGCCTATGGATTTAGTACTTGCAGCAGGATCCAAAACTTTTTCTTAAATTTGCACTTGAGCAGAATGAAACCTTTCTCCCTATTTATTCCGTTTTTGAGTGCCATACCAGAATATTTTTTTAATTCAAATAAGGATAGTTTACATTAGTGGCTGAGTGAAGGAAAATTTTTAATTCAAATAAGGATAGTTTACATTAGTGGCTGAGTGAAGGAGTGTCCCCCACTCCTCTTTTATTTTTTCTTTCCCTTAACTCTTCTTTGGATTTAGAGATTTGGTATATGGCAGTGAAGATGCACTTCTAGGTAGAATGTTTTCAGAGGTTAAAATTAATATCCCTGGAAATTTTGTGATGTGATAGCCATATAAGGCCATCAGTGTGGTACATTCTTAGTTAATCATTCCTAGTTGATTTCTTGATTATTTCGCATTAATGAAAATTAGCATAGTCAAGGGGTACCCTTGAAAGTTTGGCTGCTGGTCAGCTTGACCCTATTGGCAAAAACTAATATAATCATGCCAGTTGATTATTCCATAAAGTTCAAGCCCCAGCAGAGTCATAGTCAGGAACGCATTAATGTGTTATCTCACTATAAATGCCCCTAAATGCCCACGCCCAACTTGCTTATCTAGCATATTCTTCCTATCCTGTGTAGGCATTAAAACATATGTTGCAAGTTGCCCTAGCTAAACATGGTTTTTTTCTATGTCTTTTTTGAAAAAGTTAGAAGGAGGAGTATGTAAAATTAGCAGAATAATTGTTTTCTTTATGGATCAGGTGGCCTTCCGAAAACTTTCATATATTAAGATTTATGTTCTTTCATGTGTTGAGACACGCATTTGTTATTATTTGCAGCACTTTAAAAAAATATGAAGTAAAAGTTTACATTTTAGCCCTCTCCAGGGATCTTGTTAAAGGCATTAAAAAATAATTCTTGACCTGCTAACAATCAGCTCTTCTTAATCAATAATTGCCATCAGTGTATAGTGTATCCAGTGGTACAACATTCTGGTGTTTTGATTACAGTGGAACTTGATTTCAGTAACTTAGGAGCATGCTCTGTGCCCTAGCATTCAAAAATTACCTGTTTCCGTAATGTGATTGTTCGTTATCATTCATTGTGCAGTGCAGTATTCAAATTTGTTCTTGTAGCACAAGGATGACTATACCAACTTGGAAAAGATTAAATTCTTAAAAACTCTTCATTTATTTCTAAGCAAACTTATTTTAAGGGAGCTGATTTTTTAGCCTTAAAAGTATCATTTTTAAGTCTAAAGTGCAACACTTGATTTTGAATAAGCTAGTTCATTAGCTAACAATGTTCTCTTACTAAGAGTTATAATATTGCAACACATCTAATTCAACTTAGACTACAAAACTTGCCTGATTTTGGGAAAGGGTTTTATTATTATTTTTTTCTTTTCTGAAAATCAGCTGACATTTTGTTTACAGTGCTTTGAATATTTGGCTTTGAAGAAATTGTTACATTGATACTGAGTTGTGGGGTGCTGATTTAGGTCTTGGTCCATATGAATTTAAAGGAGATTACTCTTTTCGTTTAAAGAGGAAAGGGGATAAACAGAAAGATCCTCAAATGGATACATCTCTCCAGAAGAGATCCTCAAATGGATACATTCCTTAGTCACGAATAACAGTTTTCAAGCAATGCCTTTGTGTCCTCCTAACCCTCCTCACCCTTTTCTTGGCATAGAATGTAGCAGGGCCATAACTGAGAAGTTTGTCATTAATGTATAAACCACAAATAGAAGCATTTTGCTATGATGCCTTTTTATACTTGTCTTTTAAAAATACCCACATCAAGGCGCTTATGGATGTGAAAATAGGATCTGTCTAAGTTGTAGGTAACAGGTTAACCTAAGAAAGTTTTAGAATTTCTACTAAGATTACATGAGCCTGATTTTAGAGCTGGTATAGGATATGCAGTAAGTTGTAGTCCATGAATTACTTAAAAGGACCAGGGCACCTAATTCTTGTCAGGTTTCCAGTCTACCTTGGTGCCATTCATGACTCAAGCTGTTTACAGGAAATATAATTTCCATAGCAAAGAGTAATTTTTCTCTTTAAAGTATTGAATTCAGCTTAAAGTGCAAAATAAATATGTGTAAGTTTGTCAAAAGGAATAGAGAATGACAATAGTCCTCTATTTCCTGTACTGATGTAGTAGAGGTGGAGATTCGTGAAGCAAGAAGGAAACCCCAGATTGTCAAATTTAGAGCTTAGAACATGTCTTGTAAAAGTAGTTGCGAAGGGCAGAACAGAAGGAAGTCTGTTTCTTGGCATATTTTTCTTTATTAAGATGGACAGTGTTTTCTTGTTTTAAAAATGTTCTTTTGTCTATTTGCCAGCATTTTTTTTTTCAAAGTTAATGCACTGCTGCTACCTGGGAGATGTCTTACTTCATTTTGTACAACTCTTATGTGATTTTGCCATTGTCATTAAGATGAATTGATTTTATTTATGAGGTCTGTGATTTTAAATACCAAATGCTGTATGAAGTGACTTGTTTTGAAGAAATAAATGAAGTGAAAATACTGTTGTCTGAGCGTATTTTGGGGTGAGGACAGAGGGCCAGTGAACAGCCACCACATTCAGGTTACATATTTATCACCAAAAGCTAATAGGCCACTGCTTTGACTAGGGTGTCAACATCTGCCAAATCTCACTCTGTAGATGGAATCTTAAATGACTTTGACCGAAGAAATGAAAATGTTTCTTTTTGACACCACCGGACATTTGAAATTTTCCTTCCTTGACTCCAAATTTCCTGTAGTTGATTTGATGAAGAAATAGCACTTATATTTTAACTCTAAATCTATCCCAACAGGGTGATGTGACGTGAGCTGCAGAAGCGGTTGCATTTTGATAGTTAAACCAGAAAAAAGGAAGCAATAGTGTTAATGTACACTGCTTTAGTCATATTGCATTGGGGGTTTGGATAAAGGTTTTACATGTAAGACAATGAAAAACTAAAGAGCCAAGACTATAGCTCTTTTCCCTCCAACTTGTCTGACCACAATTGTCATGATAGCTGAAGGAACTGAAGGAGAGAAGAGGTCTCAGGTCGATGTAACGTCTTCACATTCTGGGAAACATGTGAAAGATGAAGTAGATTTATTCCCTAAGGCTCTAGAGGAGAGAACTCAGACCAATTAGGGGTGAATATTGCAAAATAAAGTCTACCTTTTATAAAAACCTAATGCAAATAGAAAAGGATGCTTTCACATTGAAATTCAAGTGTTATGAAATGGCCTCCTGCATTGTGAGAAAAAGAGCTACAAGTCATAAGGTCCCTGACATCTTGAAAATTTTGTTTCCAGAGCTAGTTATGAAATAAATAGATCACTTACAAAAAGAGCGTCTCCACTAGATGAAAACCCATTTTTCTTTGTTTTGTTTTTTCCTCTTTCCTGTCCCATCAGTGTTTCGAAGGGAGTGACTTGTGCTCTTACTTAGTAATCCAGCAGAGGCTGCAGAGCAGGACTTACATACTGAGCAGTAGTATATACTATGCTTATTTTATCTCGAAGACTAAGAATGAGAGGTTCAAGAAAAAAGTAGGCATCTTACTTTTCCTATTTAAAAAAAAAATGTGTTCTAATGTGGATTGCCTTTGTCTCTGTCGTGTTCATAGATTTTGAGGGTATTTATCTGATGGAATCAAGTGCCAGGGTATCATGAACATACTTCCCTAAAGCTTACTAAACTTAAGATTTCCCTATGTGTGAGTTAAAGGGGGGGAAAAAAGTCAAGAATTTGTGAGGAACAAACAAGTCCTTTTTCTGCTTCCGTGACAGCCTCTCTCAGCTGCTTCTCTGCCTTTCTGTCCTCTAAAATTCCTTCTGTACACCAAGAAGAGTTTTCTGATCTTACTTGATGGCATTTCTTTGTATTCAAAAAATGGACTTCATTAGTGAATCTTCAGACATCAGAGCAGGTGTCACAGTGACTTAAGTGGCCATGTTCTCAAACTCTACAACTGAATATTTGAAGTAGGTTGAAAGCTATGATTTTGAAGTTGGAAGCTTACTCGGCTCAAAGTCAATGGATGCTGATGTTAAATACAAAATTTGGGCAAAATTATTCCTGATAATCCCTTAATTGGCTCATAGAATATGTAGACGTCACCACAACAGTAAGTCCAATCCAGCTAGTGTTGAAAGAGTTCATGCTCACTCCTCCAGCTCTTTTGAGTTCCCAACCTACAGCAAGGATGGTTCACTAGATCCCATGCATTGGTGGGATTCCAGACTCCAATCCCTGATTCCCTGCTTATGTAAAGCTGTCAGAAGCACCACTCAGGGTCTCAGTCACCCATTCTGGAATAGAGAAATGTCTTCAGAGGAAAAGTGGCCCCAAATGTTGGGTCCCCCACACCTATCCTTATCCTTTCCAAGCCTGGCAGTTCTTCAAATTCTTCACTATAGTTTTAGCCCCCCACTACTTCAGCAAGAAGGTTTATTTGAATTACCTAGTCCAATGTTACAGGATATGAAAGTCCTCAGCAACACCTTTCACATGACAATCAAGAAACAGCTACCACGGGGGATCCCTGGGTAGCGCCTGCCTTTGGCCCAGGGCGCGATCCTGGAGTCCTGGGATCGAGTTCCACGTCAGGCTCCCGGCATGGAACCTGCTTCTCCCTCCTCCTGTGTCTCTGCCTTTCTATGTCTATCACTAATAAATAAATAAATCTTTAAAAAAAAAAAGTAAAGAAAAGAAACAGCTACCATAAAATTGGTATTTAAAAAAAGGAGGAGGAGAAATAACTTGGAAATATCAGGTATGAAGTAAATGATTTAACAATATTAATTTTCTGTCATCAATGGGGGGAGGGTAGTAAGAATTTGTCAGTGTTTATTTTAAAAAGTCTGGAAGGAAGAAGCATTTTTCTCAAGTAACCATGAATATTTCTAGCACAATTCATTTCAATTCTGTTGGATATTTATATTGAAATCAGTAGAAATTGTGTCCCTTATGGAATAATAATTTTTTAGAGTCTTATATGAGTATTTCATGAAATTATTCATCCCCTAATTGCCTATGGGACATTCTACCTAGTAGACTTCCAAACTTCCTTCAACTGTGACTTAACTCTTGCATTGGAATTGATAAGTTTTTCTCTTAGGAATTGTGTTGCCTTGGGGATCCCTGGGTGGCTCAGCAGTTTAGCACCTGCCTTTGGCCCAGACGTGATCCTGGAGTCCCGGGATTGAGTCCTGCATCAGGCTCCCTGCATGGAGCCTGCTTCTTCCTTTGTCTATGTATGTGTCTGCTTCTCTGTGTGTGTGTGTGTGTGTCTGTCATAAATAAATAAAATCTTAAAAAAAAAAAAAGGAATTGTTTTACCTTGAATTACTTCTCTCGGAGCTTGAATATTAATGGAGTAAACTGATAAAACCAAGATTTTAAACCAACAAAACCACAGAACAGACTCTTAATTACATTGATCTTCTGTCAAAATGACCCTATTAGATCCAGCCTTATTTTACTCTTAACGTATAACAATGAAGACTGAGAAAATGATCTTGGATTTAGTCAGAATTGGCTAAAAGTCAATTTATCTGTGATATATTGTTAAGCAGTTTAACAACCCACGATTGAGTGTTTATTGTAAAGTATACTGTCATATACCGTAGGATTTGACAAGGATAGTCATTTATTCAATAAGCATATTTTGGGGCAGCCTGTGTAGCTCAGGGGTTTAGTGCTGCCTTCAGCCCAGGGCCTGATTCTGGAGACCCGGGATTGAGTCCCACGTCAGGCTCCCTGCATGGAGCCTGCTTCTCCCTCTGTCTGTGTCTCTGCCTCTCTCTATGTGTCTCCCATGAATAAATAAAATCTTTAAAAAAAAATATTTTTTTGAATGCTAAATTTCAGGAACTGTCCTAGGTGCTGGACAGGTTGGGGGACTGGGGGACACAAACAATGCTATAAAGAAATAGAAATGAAGGTACTATGAAGAGAATGATGGTGGGGGAGATTCTAATTTAAAGCGGTGAATCTGGGAGAGTCTTTTTGAGAAAGTGACTAAGTTGAAACCTGAAGAATGAATAGGAGATAGTCATTTGCAGAGTATGAAGAGCATTCCAGGTAAGGGGTGTAGTATTTGCAAACCTGATATTGCAGGAAGAAACATTTTCTAGGCCAGTTTGGCCATAGTGTGATAATCAGAAAAAGAGGGACATTAGGTGAAATTTTAGAAGTGAGCAAGGGTCCAGATTTGCATCATCGATAAGCTATATTAAGCAGTTAACTGAATACATACCTGCCATATTTTATTTGCTTGTTCATTTTATATGTGTATCTCAAAATAGTTTGTCCACAATGGCAGGGATCAGTTCTCCTTTATTACCCTTGTATTCTCAGCACCTAACAAAGTGCTGGACACATAGTAGATGTTCTTATGTATTTGAATGAACTTATGAATGAATGAATGAATGAATGAATGAATGAATGAATGAATTCAATGTATAACTTAAGAATAAAATTATCCTGGGTTGTCTACATGACTCAGTTAAGTGTCCAGCTCTTGATTTTGGCTCAAGTTGTGAGATCAAGCCCTGTGTTGGACTCCCTGCTGGCTATGGAGCCTGCTTAAGATTCTCTCCCTCTCCCTCTCCCCCTCATCACCCCAGCTCATGCTTTCTCTCTCTCTCTCTCTCTCTCTCTCTCAAAAAAAAAAATAAAAATAAAAATTAAAGTTATCCTAAGATAATTGGGAGGACATTATAGCATATTAAGAAGGGCATGAGATTTATGTTTCACCAAGGCCTTTTAACTGCTCTGTGGACAATAGATTGAAGGGGAAAAGAATGGAAGTGGAGGACCAGTTAGGAGGAGGCTGGTGCAGTCGCCTATTGAAGTGGTGATGGTAATAATTATGATAGCATTTGTTGAGTGCTAACAATGCTGTGAGCATTTTTCATGTATAATCTCATGTAATCTTCACAATGACTATGAGATTCATTGAAAGGCATAAACTCTGAAGGACAAAGAAATGGTGGGGTAAACAATAGCCACAAATTTTTGGAAGCTAGCCAGCAGTTGGATGAGTATCAACGGACCTAGCAGATTTGAAAAAGCTGATCCTAAGCCATCAACTCTACTTTTTCCATGAAGATCCCCCCTCAAAAATCCAAGAATTGGTGGCATTAGTACCCCTGGAAACAGAGATTGGGGAAAAAAAGATCTTCTCTCCCACTCAGAGCAACTAAGAGCTTGTTACATCCCCTCTCAGGACAGGGTAAAATAGGGTCTCTGTACTAAAACTAAGGGAATGAAGTCATGTTTATACACTAGATGCAGCGAATAATAACCTGCCTCTGCCACTAGGCTCCAAGAATGCCAGCTGTCAGAATTAGGCCCTTCAGGAAGGATTGTGGAAAACTCTTCTCTGAGGACTCTAAACAGGCCATAAAAAAGATGAAAGGTACTGGCATCAAAGCCTTCCCAACCAAATAGCCCAAATAGCCCTAGGAGTTCACTCTGTAGCAAAGTCCCCAAGTTAACCACCCCCAGCCATGCTGAAAAC